TCTTTTCGTCTGATGTTATCGAAGAGTTGGCGTTAAGGTTGTCGGTCAGTTGGGTCGTTACGTTTAAGGATAGCCCTTCGTAAATTCTTAGTAAGGTTCCAAAACATCACTAGTAAACATACTAGGTGTTATGTACCTGTTAAAATCGGGCGGTGTTACCTTTATTACTGCGGAAAATCGCTCACGCAGGTCAGCCACGCCGTGCTCGCGGAAGTCAGCTTCTGCGTAGCCGAGAAAAACTATATTATCGTGCCGAAATGACTTAGCTGAATGAAGGGGACCAAAAAAGGTTTATTCTTAAGTAACATGAGTCTCTATTCCATCATGATGAAGATATACTATACTGTAGGGCAAAAACAATGACAGAAAATATGAAAACAATATCACAATAGGTATAAATGTAAATTTGAAAAATGAAGTGTAATGTTTCAACAAGGTACAGACTCATAGTTTGCATTTGGTGTATCAGATCACGTGAGTCTCACCACAAAAGATGCCTCAGGTATTTGGATTTTGATAACGCTATTACTTGTAACACATTTATGATCGAATTATTGTAACCCAGTCAAATAATAATTCAGAAGTAAAGTTGTTTGAAGACATATTTGAAAAGCTATAAATATGTCGATATTCTTTCAATCAAGGCTGGCTATCAGTTGCAAGTTATGTGTAGCATGGCGTACCCACTTGTGATTTGGTGAGGATAAATGGTTGAAAGCCTTCGGCTAGAAGTGTCGAGTAAAAATAATGACCTTAGCATCAATACCGAAAACCTGATGAACTATTTATTTGAGGGATTCATTTTCCTCTATACATGTACTTACCCATGGATTATTATACTCCTCTTAGGCCAGCCGTGTCAAATACCTATCTCATAAATTACCATGGTTGCCATTAATGTATAATCAATAACCACTTCCTGTATCTCTTGCTGTCACGTTCTTCCTACTTTTATTTTTTCAGTTCTATCTTTTTACGCATTGTCGATCAAGTAAATTAACTACTTATCCTTGAAACAGTCATCTTTTATCACTTGAGTCATTAACTTATCCTGCCTGGTGGTATGGTAGATGGTGATGTACAGAAATCGTAACACTTTCTATGCCCTCAAAAATTACGGAGTCCCTGATATTCGACGGTATACACGACGATTTATTATTCACAGACTTCTTTTCACCCCGTCAGCACGGTTTCGGAAAAGGTTACTCTTGTATAACTAACCTTCTGACTGAGGTTGACAGATAAATAACCATCCTTGATCGCAAGGGGAGGGTTGACTACATTTACCTTGACTTATCAAACACTTTTGATAGGATCAACCATTTATGTCTAATAAGTAGGCTCAGACCATTGGGTATCAAAGCACATTTAATTATTTAGTCCACTTTGTACATAGAAAATCGACATTTTAAAGTCAGGGTTGACTTCACTTTCTCTCGTACTATGGAATTTCGTAGTGGGGTCCTCCAGGGTTCAATACTAGGTTTTCTTCTGTTCTTCATTTATGTAAACAATCTTTTACAATAGGTATTTTAGCGACTCACGTGCAACTGAGTTTATTCTCATGTAACTCAGTTAAGCCCTTTTGCTAACTTATTTAGCGGACAAACTCATCCGTACTATAACAACTTATTGTACCTTTATTATTGTTGTGCTTGTATGAAATATGTATGCTTGAACAATGCTTAACGCCTACCCATATATTCACTCTGCTAGCTTTATTATTAGCTGCATAATTGATTCGATGATCCATTCATTTCCCTATATATACATGTACACTTACGCTTCTCTACTCTCGGTTAGCTGACTCACTCATTCGCCTTACCGGTTTGCGGTCTAAGTATCTGCTAATAAAACTTTGTAGCTACTTCTCTTTACCTCCTGATTTCAAACACCGTTGAGGATTATATGGTAACGGTTACGAAGGTGATTGGTTAACGAAGCACAGCCACTACAGTATCGTCAGACTTATTATCTTTTGCTCATGATGTGAAACTTTGGAGAGAGTTACACAACCAAGAGGATAAGCTGGCCCTTCATGTGGGTCTGACTCGACTTCATAGTTGAGCAAATGACAACGGACTTACCTTTATCAATTCCAAATGTAAAGTAGTCCAAAGGCGACTATATGTGATATTAATAAGTATTTTAATTATAGTATGAACTAAGAATCCCAGAAATAACGTAATCAGGTCAAGAAGTACTAGATGACCACAAACGAATGTACTGTATTTAGACTTCGAAATCAACAATTCAGTAAGTACAAAGGGATCATTAGTTCATTCGAAGACCATATCCGCCCACAGCTTATATTGGAGTTTAAGTGTCTGTAGTCGATTGTACGTCTTCTTCTTAAGTTCATCCTGTGTCTGTCCGACATTGTATCGGATAAAAACTCTGTATTATCTGGAATGTGCTCATTAGTATTAGAATTAACAAGCGAAATCGGAACAGACTCACCTGGGATTGCATACAATCAGCATGTCGGTTTTGTACTAAAATCATTAATATCTAGAACTCGAACCATAGATTTTTCAGCACTATACTCCCCTACGAAATAATGTCGGATCTTTATATCCCCAAGTTATGCATGATGTGGCTTCATTTAAAACATATTTATCACATTGATTAGAGTATACATGGAAGTGGATTTGTGATAAGGATGAACAGCACTTGGTATGAAATCATCGGGATTGTAATCAAAAGCGAGGTCATTTAGTACTCGTGCTTCGCATTGAATAAGTTTCCCACAAGAAACAAATTCATTATGAGGACAAATAATATTTGGTATGACATCAAGATTTGACTCTTCTGAAATAGTTTCCTCAAATTTATTAAGAATGTCATTGCAGAGCGAAGGATCATCAGAAAAATCAACATCTAACAAGGCTGCATCAGGTTTTCGATCATGACTAGGTTCATTAAACATATTTTCCTCAGATTTGCAAGAAATTTCGTCAGAAATATGTGAATCATTAGGAAAAACCATACCTGGTACAATAGCATGAGAAATCTGATAAGTCGATTGATATGAAACTGTTGTCTCGCAAAGATTCTGAGTTTCACTTAACTCTGAACTGCTATATGACTGTACACTGTCTTTTAAAACCGTTGGTGAAAATAAATGATCATTATAAATGCTCAACTTAATAGAATCAGAATCACAAGACTTAACATTATTTTCAGCAAGATGAACAGTAGTATTACAGACTGACTGAATATGTCCAATATCACCACATCTAAAGCACTTAGAATTACGAAATTTATATGAATTAAAAGAGTGGAACTTGCCACAGGACAAACATTGGCCAAAATTGTGTCCATCTTCGTGAACTGCATCCAAACTCAATGAATTTTCTGCAAAACCTTGAGCATGCAGTGGATTGGGATGACGTAATGTGGTGGAATTTTTTATATTCTCATGAATCATTTTCCAAAATCTTCCTCCTTTACGACATTCGGAATTTGTATAGTGAACATAGTCTAGCAGTAGATCCTTGAGAATTGTATAAGACAGTGGAACGGGCTTTCCAGGTAAAGCCAGATATTCTAATAAGCTATATGCTTTTTCCGATGCATCAGAAGAAATGTGCTACAATATTAGCATCCTCATCATCTTCCTTGGTCATAGACCAAATCTCGAACTTTTCAAATTAATCCTCAAAAGCTTCAGAGGTTGAATGAATATCTAACTGTTCCATCACAGGCTCCATCGCAACGCCAATGTAGTATTTATAAGTATTTGAATTATAGTATGAACTAAGAATCCCAGAAATAACGTAATCAGATCAAGAAGTACTAGATGACCACATACGAATGTACTGTATTTAGAATTCGAAATCGAGCATTCAACAAGTACAAAGGAATCATTAGTTCATTCAAGCACCACACTATAGCAACAAATAAGGCAACTCGCCTGTCAAAGTATCCCAAGTCGAAAGAGATTTATGAGTGAAGGTGCACTACGGTTTGAAGTCTTACACTAACTGCAACGAAAACACCTTACGAGCAAACTTTGCACCGCTAAAATTGAAGCGCATTTTGGGCCAGTTAGACGGAAGAACTTTCCACACAATCTTCAACAGTTTTATTCGCCCTCATTTAGAGTACGGAAACATAGTATTTTGTCACTTACTCCAAAAGGATATGGACGCCCTGGAGCGTATCCAACAGCGAGCCACACAATCACTTTGGAGACTCAAATTCAAGCCTTATGGAGAGCACCTCCAATCACTGAATCTTTACTCATTAGATTACAGGTGTCTTAGAGGTAGCCTAATGGCTTACAGCATCCTTAATATTTCTGAATATCCCCTAAACACCTATTTAAGCTTAATCCCAACACAAAGCTTAGGGGTAACACTCAGAAACTGGAGACTCAACACAGAAGAACGGACTGTAGACACACCTTCTACTTCACAAGAGTAGTCAAATGCTGGAATTCGCTGCCGGATGAGCTATTTCAAATGACTTACCAAGAATCCTTTAGAAGAAAACATGACACATTCCTAAGGACTAAGGATATCTTATTACGATTTTTTTCTCTTTCCTCTTTTGTCGATAATTTACCTAGGTTTCTACTTGGAGGTTTTCGTAATCCACTGCTACTAGATAAAGAAGCCTGTTAATCAGAAGCTTCTTCTATTTCATCCAAAACCATTTAAACTATTTTGAACTACATGGTACACAAATCTACAAATAACTGCCGCACTGGCTATAAATAGTGGCTAGAATACCCCCAATAGGACAACTAAACACTTGGAATCGTATGGAAGCGTTAGAGAGTGAGCACATATCAATTAATTGATTTATATAAGCTCATGACAAGGAAATTCGAGGATATATATTGGAATTCTACTCGGTTATCGCCCTTCGGTTATTGACCTGAATGACCACTGATATGAGTATGACCAGTCCAATCGAATGGGAAGACTATCTCCCATGTCTCTCAAGACTTGAAGCTGTACATAAACAACAGAGAAATCAATCGGTTAAAACTACTTCGTTACGACGATATTGGATATTGGTTTTATTGTTACTGTTAACCTGAGTAACATATTCGAAACGTAACGCTATCAACTCATGGTTTCGCTTGTCAGATTGTGTTGATTTTACTCATGTGTTATTTATAATTGTTATCTATTGGTTTCAATAATAAATGTAAGTGCATTCTATGTATTTACTGGATCATCGGCTCACCTTTTCTGTCGTTTCCTCTTCCAGATTCTCTCAAATACTACTCAAGGTACATTCAAGCTAGAAGCGAATCTGCCAGATGCTGTTTGTCACACCTGTCTGACCATTAAGTCTTCAGGATTGTATTGTTTTTGATCGTAAGTAATGCTCTATAAGTGGTTTACGTGATGTCTCGTAAATTTATGTTCTTTTTCCTTTTTGTCTTCATACGTTCCCGACTTTGGGCCTAAATAGACCAATTTCGGGTAAATTTCGGAACAACCCCATTAGTTATTCTGTATTAATGTCGATGAAATTCAGTCAACAAGCCTAATATTCTCGGAAAAATATCTCGAAGTCGTGATTTTTTTCCCAAAGTAAATAAGATCCTTCAAAATCTTCACACACATTTGAAGCATACTGTGAATTGCTAGTGGAAAATCCCAAAGAGGATTCTCTTTACTATCAAGTTTTGATATCACCTATCTGTTACATTTATAAGAACCTTGCATGTTTGTAGCTGATTGTCTCGTCTTTGTTCTTATCACCAAAGCCATTAGGTCGCCTACTCTCTATAGATCTACAGTGACCGTGTACAGTCACTAAAATGCAAAGTGAACGTCGTTTCACCAGATTTGATGAATTGTTTTTGGCATTCTATTGGATCTAAAGCCTGATCGATGTAATTCGGTCTCAACCGATCAATGCCACAAACCCGAATGTTTGAGCGTGCATTTTGTTACTGAATTGCTTTAAGCTGTTGTCAGTTGCCTGGATCCTAAAATACAGTTTTACAAGCCATAGTAGGGGTAAACTTAGCCCAAATCATTGCTGTGCTGTATGGGAACAGTTGGGAATCTTACAGTTTATTGAAGTTGTAAGATGATGCTCTACAATAGTTCGTCACAGCTTTAATATCAGCGCCCTCTAAGAATATGCTACTGTTTAATGAGGTAGATCACTGTCCATGATTTTCGTCACAAAATCAATGACTTTGTTATCATAAATGAAGTCATTCAGACAATACACACAAATCATTCAGTGACACATGATTATTGCTTAAGTCACTCATAATCCGTCCCACACTTGCATCTAAAGCTCGTACTGCTAGTTTTTGCCGAAGCTTATCTTTTATCTCGGAAAATAATATATTGTTTCTCTTTTTGTTCCTAACAGATTTTTATAAAGGCTAATCAAGCCGTTAGAGTGAAATATGTGTGTGCTTTTCACTTTCCAGATATATAATCCAATGGAAACCATTCTGGAGAATAAACGTACGATGTCTTCAGTGATTTCTGACAAAAAGTGGAGCAACCTTAAATGCATTCTTGGACGTTCTGGTCCATTTCATCGGTCAGAATTCGAGCCGTCAAATGAAGTTTGTGCAATTTTTAATCCCGCGAAATTTCAAGCTCTTAAGCATGGTTAGAGAACATGTGAAAATCCTTGTCATTGGAGCTGGAGGTTTGGGTTGTGAGCTTCTGAAAAACCTTGTAGGTTTACATCTTGCGACTATTATTAAGTGTAGGCTATGATGGGGTTTTGTCATCTGGAGGTCATAGACATGGACATAATCGATATTTCCAATTTGAACAGACAATTTCTGTTCCGATCTCACGATGTCGGCAAACCGAAAGCCAATGTTGCAGCGGATTTTATCATGCGCCGCATTCCAACATGCAAAGTTGTCCCACACTACAATAAAATTCAAGATTTCGGTGCGCCGTTTTATAAACAATTTAATGCTGTGGTTTGTGGTCTGGATTCAGTCACAGCTCGGCGGTGGATTAATTCTATGCTGGTGTGTCATGTATTGTTTTATATATTTCATTACTAAGCATTTCCAATGGTATTTTCAGGACAAAGGTGTATTTTTCACAGTGAAAATGTTTAGGTATATTTAATGAAACGAGTCTACAAGAATCAGCATATAACAGATTTCGTGTATGTAACATACGAAAAGGACCTTATCATTGTACTGGAATCGCAATAATCTACTATTGGAGATTGGGGAAAACTATGTCAAATGTCACATTGCGGCGTAATTTCTACTTCTGATTTCTTTTGTGCTATCCGTTCTCCTGTATATTGAGAAACACTTTGCGCTTAACTTTCCATATAAATCTGCTATGTGTTTTATCACTGCTGGATACCTTTACAATTTGTCATTTTTTGCACATTACTTATCCTATACTATTCTGTATTATTTTTTATGGACTATTAAGAAATGATTTTACTGTGTTGGTTGGATTAGATATTAGCTTGAGTGGGTTAAATCTTTTGGTGTTACTGTAAACATAGTTGTTGATAAATATCTCAAACAGCTGTCAATCGTTATTGTCTGAAACAAACTACGTACTAGGTTCATATCGTCCACCGTGTATATCTTATAACATGACAAGACGCAGGTACATTCAAATTTATGTTCAGTGAAGAAGTTTCGGGGATTCTGTATCCATCACTCATAATGTATGTGGAAAATGTCTTAACGGCTGACCCTAACGAAAATGTTTCCTAGTGGACATGCATTCATATTAATTACTGTTCTCAGAAATGTCCTTTTATTTATTTCATTACAATGGATTTCGTTTAGACAAACCTAACTTTCCATCGGCAAACGAAAACGATTCAGTTTATGATAGCACTCTATGTAATGACAAAAGAGTTGTGTTAGGAATCTGTTTATTCTAAATAGTGTCATAATGGCCAAGTAGAAAGTAATATGAATCGAAGGTGATGGTATGCACTTATATCTTTATATTTACCTCCGTTTTACTTCTTTCTGTTGTATCGAAATGTAGTTTGTTAAACAAATATATTAAGACATTATAGCAGTCGGATAAAGTGTAAATTCATGCTCAAGACACTTGCAGATCATTCTTAATGTATGTTGCCATGTTTTAAAGTAAATTCTACTTTCACATTATCATCGATCATCATAATTGCTGATTGACACTTCTTTAAGTTAATGGCTCTTCGACTTATAACACATGAATTGGTTCATCTTAAAATATTCCAACTATTATTTATGATGTATCGGTATCAAGACTGCATTTTATTGACAATAAATTGTTACCATTTGATACTATCAAAAATGGTATTTTTTTATTTAGCGAGCGCACTGTTTCCACATGGGTTGATTTTTAAATATTTTCTAATTGCCCACCGTATGTCGAATGTCTGTAATGTTTTTGTCTTTTTTTCGTTTCTGTATTATAGGCAAGTCTGGTTCGTTATAATCCAGATGGTCAACCAGATCCAAACACTGTCATACCACTTGTTGACGGTGGGACAGAGGGATTCAAAGGACATGTCCTTGTTGTTCTGTATGGCCTGACTGGATGCCTAGAATGTACACTTGACCTATACCCACCACCAACCAATTTTCCCTTATGTACTATAGCGCATACTCCTCGTCTTCCAGAACATTGCATAGAATATGTGAGAATACTGTTATGGTCAAAAGACAATCCATTTGGAAGTAAGTTGATGTCCAGTATTTAAGCAAAGATGTTCAACTTTTTTATCTAATACACTGCTGAAAACGGTCGGAAGTGTTTAGTCATTGGTCCTAACATTGTCGCTACTAGAAAAGAAAGCACTGATTTTAATACGAGAGGATATTAGTGTGGCTCACCATTTTCAATGAACCTTGTTTTGAGGTACATATATATATAATCATAGAGTAGCTCATTGTGTAAGCAATGTAGATAGTCAGACACTACCTTTCATCAATATCTTTGTGATTTCACAAAAAGTGTGTATATCTTTGGTTGCCAATATTGTAGCTGACTGACTGCCAGTATTCTACACACCTTAAAATCAAATATGATTGACCTCATAAATCTGCCCATTTAGTGTTTGGCGAGTCAGTCTACAGATGGCTGTCCTACCAACTGTGGTGAGTTATATCAAAATATTGCTAAGACATCTAAAACTTGCCACATAAGGACCTTGTCTAACCGGCCTCAAGCAGTTTACTCTTGAGCTCCATAATCACTCCTAAGTCTCTACGACCACTATTAATCCAGTTTCCCAAGAAGAAAAATCCTTCCACAGTATGGGCAACAGAAAAGTGACAGCTAACCTCATATCTCTACCCGGAATTCTATCTTCATCAAATATTCCATCTTCGTTATCAACTCTCATCTTCTACTTCTTCAACGTGTGCCACAAAAGCTAACAGTTCGAGATTACAAAATACTGTTTCAGGTCTTTTGAAACTCCGCTTCAAACTACATGTTAGAACTTTTAATGTTTGGATCCCATATCAAGTCGGACAACAGGTATCACTAGCTAAGACCCTAGAATCTTGTGCCGTTAATGTATACTGTGCTTCTAAAGTACAAAAACTACTTTTATAACTTGTGCCTGCTAATTAGAGAACAGTAATTTATCGACCGAACCAATGACGCATAAAATCCGTACGAGCAGTCTAGAGTCTTTATCAGTTTTGCCTCCCACCTAGCTGTCTGTTATGTGCAGAACATCAATCTCAGCCTCTGCGATATGAATCATTTATTTCAAACACACTGAGTTTGTATGCCAACCAAACAGACCACATTGTACTATAAAATAAAAAATAACATTTGTAAAAGATATAACCGAAAGTGGCTGTGTGTGGGAGACGGTAATTGGGCATAGCCGAAGAATGGTAAATCGTATAATAATAGTTCATAGGTCAAAATAAAGCTTTCAATAAGAGGAACACGAATATAAATAGTTTAGTTACTTAACAATTATACGATAAAAACATATGTATAGTATTAGTCCAGAAATAGATTCCAACAGTTACCACTGATTATTCTCATCGGGATATAACACCTCTTTTTTGAAGATCCGGAGTTGATATTCGGACTTTATCCTCCCCTACAAATTAGTGTTGGATCCTCTTGTCCCCAAGTTACAATTAACGAGACTTTATTTGAAACATGTTTACCGTATTGAATAGAGAATCCACTAAAAGTGACTAGATAGTGAGGATAAACGCCACTGAATTTGCGGTCAGCAGGGTCTGATTCTTCTGAAACATTTTCATCAAATTTATTGAGAATCTCATTAGTAGATAATGGATCACTAGAATAATCAGCATCCATCAAAATTGCGTTAGGTTCTTGATTATCATCTGATGTATCCGACATATTTTTCTCATTTTTATAAGAAATTTCATCAAGAACATTCGAATCGTTAAGATAGCCCATACCTGGTAAAACAACTAGAGAATCCCAATAATTAGATTCATCAGAAACTTTTATCGCAGAATGATTAATTTCATTTGGTGCAACTGCATTCATTATACTGCTCGATTTATTTTCTTTTTCGTGGGTGGTTACTGCGGCAATTTCATAAACACTTGACAGGACATAGTCTTTTTGTGAGCTGGACAAGTCACTGTTTGCACATTCTGTTTCAGGGATAATGGGATTTGAACCCACTACAGGGCATGTCTCTAAAATGGACGTTTCTGGACGACTGGGCGGATCATAAGTGACTGATACTGCTTCGTTTATATTAATGCTTGTCAAGGATTCCCGGAGGCTTTCATCGACACGCTCATACGTTCTGTAGTCATTTTCCAGTTCTGTATGCAATTTGGAAATTAATTCATTAACTTCCGTCACATCTACAGATCATGGATGATTCAGTAGCCGTGTGTGTAGTTTGTCTATAAATTCCAACGGATTCTTTTTAAAACACTGCTGTTGTCGCTGAAATAGCAGCTGCAATTGATCAGGAGAGCCATTCTCTGTTTCTGCATGAATCAGCACGGTAATAGAAAAGACAGTATGACTAATTAACAACCAATTTCGTCCAAGGACATCGACGACAACTCTGTATGGTGATTGTTCGAAATAATTACACTGGTTTTCGTCCAATTACTGGCTAACCTTGGTTCTTTTTCTTCACTCCGTGGCCAATTGTTATAACTTGTCCAACAAGCACTTTCTCCAGTATTCTTCTGTTCTCTTATTTGCGACTTGGGGGGTTATAGCGTTCGAGTGCTTAAGTTATACGCAGTATATTAGGAATCTTAGCTTCTAGATTTAACAATTGGCGACGGAGTGAAGAAAAAGAACCAAGGTTAGTCAGTACTTACTTACTTACTTACACCTGTTACTCCTCGTGAAGGAGCATAGGTCGCTCACCAGCATTCTCCATCCAACCCTGTCCTGGGCAATCCTTTCCAGCTCCTTCCAGTTGTAATTCATCCTTTTCATATCTGCTTCTATTATCCGACGTAATGTGTTCTTTGGCCTTCCTCTTTTCCGCTTCCCTTCAGGATTCCAAGTTAGAGCTTGCCTCGTGATGCAGTTTGACGATTTGCGTAATGTATGTCCTATCCATTTCCATCGTCTTTTCCTAATTTCTTCTTCAGCTGGAAGTTGGTTTGTTCTCTCCCACAGAAGGCTATTGCTGATGGTATCCGGCCAATGGATGTTGAGTATCTTGCGTAGACAGCTATTTATAAATACTTGTACCTTCTTGATTGTGGTTGTTGTAGTTCTCCAAATTTCAGCTCCATACAGTAGAACTGCCTTGACGTTCGTATTGAAGATTCTCACTTTGATATTGGTTGAAAGTTGTTTTGAGTTCCATATGTTCTTCAATTGTAGGAATGCGGCCCTTGCTTTGCCAATCCTCGCCTTTACGTCTGCATCCGAACCTCCTTGTTCATCGATGATGCTTCCCAGGTATGTGAAGGATTCTACATCTTCCAGAGTTTCGCCATCAAGGGTGATTGGATTGCTGTTCTCCGCTTTGAATTTGAGGACCTTGGTTTTCCCTTTGTGTATACTGAGGCCTACTGATGCAGAGACTGCTGCTACACTGGCTGTCTTCATCTGCATCTGTTCGTGTGTACGTGATAGGAGGGCTAGGTCATCTGCGAAGTCCAGATCGTCTAATTGATTCTGAGCTGTCCATTGTATTCCGTGTTTTCCTTCAGATGTTGAGGTCTTCATAATCCAGTCGACCACCAGAAGAAAGAGGAAGGGAGAGAGTAAACAGCCTTGTCTGACTCCGGTCCTTACTTGGAATGCATCTGTCAGCTGTCCTCCATGCACTACTTTGCACTGTAGTCCGTCGTATGAGTTCCGGATAATATTGACAATCTTCTCAGGAACTCCGTAGTGTCGAAGAAGTTTCCATAATGTCCTCCTATCTACACTGTCGAATGCCTTTTCATAATCAATGAAGTTGATGTATAGTGACGAGTTCCACTCAACTGATTGTTCGACGATGATCCGTAGTGTTGCAATTTGGTCTGTGCACGACCGATCCTTTCGGAATCCAGCTTGTTGATCTCGAAGTTGGGCATCTACTGCATCTTTCATCCGGTTCAGCAACACTCTGTTGAAGACTTTCCCTGGTATTGACAGTAGTGTAATGCCTCTGTAGTTTTCACATTTGCTCAGATCTCCTTTCTTTGGAATCTTGATGAGGTGTCCTTCTTTCCAGTCCATTGGCACTTGTTCCTCCTCCCAAATCTTTTTGAATAGAGGGTAAAGCATGCTTGTGGTTACTTCGACGTCTGATTTCAGTGCTTCAGCTGGTATGTTGTCGGGTCCTGCTGCTTTCCCGTTCTTGATTTGTCTGACGGCCATTCTAATTTCTTCCGTCGTTGGTGGGTTGACCTCTATAGGAAGATCTGTGTGTGCTGCTTCGATGTTCGGTGGATTCATTGGAGCCGGCCTATTCAGGAGTTCCTCGAAGTATTCTACCCATCTGTTTCGCTGTTGTTGAATTTCAGTGATTGGCTTGCCTTCTTTGTCTTTGACCGGCCTCTCTGGTTTACTGTATTTCCCTGATAATTTCTTCGTTGTATCGTAAAGCTGTTTCATGTTTCCTTCTCTAGCAGCTTTCTCTGCCGTCGTTGCTAGTTCTTCAACGTATTTCTTCTTGTCGGCTCTAATGCTTCTCTTCACTTGCTTGTTTGCTTCTATGTATTCAGCTTGTGCTTGGACTTTCTCTGCTCGTGTTCGGCTGTTGTTAATTGCTGTCTTCTTGTTCTTCCTTTCTTTGATCTTATCCAGTGTTTCTATAGAGATCCATTCCTTATGATGGTGTTTCTTTAGACCCAGAACCTCTTGACACGTTGAAGTCAATGTTTCTTTGATGCCTTTGCAGTTGTCCTCCATGGTAGTTTCTTCTTCCTTCAGTAGATCTTGAAAGGCTTGGAACCTGTTGCTGAGAGCTATCTTGAATTCATTGAGTTTGACAGTATCTCGAAGGAGGGCTGTATTGAACCTTTGTAGTGCTGTTTGTCCACTTGTCCAGTTCTTTTTTAGCTTCAATTTTAAATTGGCTACAACTAGGTGGTGATCTGAAGCTACGTCAGCACCTCTCCTGGTTCTCACATCTTACATTGTCCTTTGGAATTTTTTGTTGATGCAAATATGATCTATCTGGTTCTCTGTAGTGTGGTCCGGTGAGATCCATGTAGCCTTGTGTATACGCTTGTGTGGAAATATTGTGCCTCCTATGACTAATTTGTTGAATGCACACAAATTTGCAAATCTTTCTCCATTTTCGTTTCTTTCTCCCAGTCCATGTCGTCCCATAATATCTTCATATCCAGTGTTGTCTATTCCGACCTTGGCATTTAGATCTCCCATCAGAATGGTGAGGTCCTTTCTTGAGCATTTCTCTATGATTGACTGCAGCCGCTCGTAGAATTGATCTTTAATGTCGTCGTTGCTATCATTGGTGGGTGCATAACATTGGATAATATTCATTAAGATCCCCTCCTTCTTTGTTTTGAATGATACTTTGATGATTCTGGATCCGTGGGATTCCCATCCTACAAGTGCATTTCGTGCTACTTTGGACAGCATTAGAGCAACTCCCAGAGTGTGTGGAGCATTTTCCTCTTCGTGACCGGAGTATAGCAGCATCTCTCCCGTAGCTAGCCTTTTCTGTCCAGCTTGGGTCCAGTGGGTTTCGCTGATTCCCAGTACTGCCAAGTTGTATCTCCTCATTTCCGTTGCTATTTGGCTGGTCTTCCCGGTTTCCCACATTGTTCGAACGTTCCATGTACCTATAAAAATTTTTGCTCTGGTTGTTAGAAGGGGCATCGGCCTCGTGGCTTCCGAAGGAACTCGGCTTTCACCATGAAGCGTCATAATTCTTCTAAATGAAGACCTTCTAACTCTCAGGGCAGAGTTAAAATGGTTTGAATTATTTTTTCTGGCAAGCGTTTTTTTAGCGAGTTAGTTTTCTACGGGATGGGGACGCTAACCCCATGCCCAACCCTCCTCCTTTACCCGGGCTTGGGACCGGCAGTAACTCTGGAAGAGCTACAGGCGGAGTTGATACCTCCATAGATCAGATACTTCTTAGGTGCCTAAACTGAAGCAAGTAGTTCTCTTAGGGCGTCACACCCTGAGCCTTTGACCTAAAGATCTAATCCACAAGGCAGTGGAGCAACGTTAGGGGATGAAGCCACATGGTAGCCGGTGACAAACAATAGGTTCATGCGCCATTTGGTCCCTCAGGATCTTGGAGCCCATGTGTATCATTGGTTTGTAATCAGGGTTCTCCAACTCCCCTAGGTGGATCCACCAACCCTTTTAAAGCGTCGGACATTCACTTTTCATCCTCTCGATTTCGTAAACAATACCGCCGTCTCGAGAATGCAATGAGTAGGTGTTATAATCTCTTTCTTACGGTTATGACCCATCTATTCCTATTGCTTAGTATTCTCGGACACCGATTCACTCGACAAGTCCGCAAATCAGAACACGGTTGAACAGGAAAGAGATTATATTCCAAATAACAAGGTTAGATGGAAGTAAAAAGCAAGTCAGTAGTGCAATAGGGGAAAGCATTAGTATATTTATAGTTTGTACATGAGAAGATTCTAGCGTAGTCCCCAAGTGTCGGCTAGTGCTGATTGGATAAGAATTAGCCAATCAGCGTGCACCAAAGCAATCGTGCATTGAGCATGCTTTAATCCAGTCTATGTCCCGCTAACAGTAGGAATTCCCTGTCAGTGGCCATACACCCATAACCATGTGGGAGGATTTCTAGAGGGAAAGCAGACTTTCGCCATCTTTGGCCGTACCAGGGCATTTATAATATTGAATAAAGCTATTATTATTACTATTACTCATAATTTTTCTTACTGTTTATCATATTTTGTTTTCACAGATGATGTTGCAATCGACGGCGATTCACCTGAACACATACAATGGATATATGAAAAGTCATGTGAAAGGGCTAAACAATTCGGAATTTCAGGTGTTACACTACGTCTTGTACAAGGTGTCGTAAAGCGAATAATCCCTGCTGTTGCTTCTACAAATGCTGTTATCGCAGCTGCATGTGCAACTGAGGTTGGTTTTCTAAATATGTTGACTTTACTTCTTTCTATGTTGTTGGTATTCAATAAAATGCAACCCACTGTAACTAGTTAATATTCGCGTGCGAGACCAAACGTTTTGGGTTCGGTTCCCGCATGCGAAGTTGGAGTTATGCACTTCTAAGCAGTATCATACTGAGAAGAAACGGTATCCCAGTGCCTTGAGGTTTTCAGTGGTGATCTAGCTTAGATCGGTTCATAATTTTAATAAACTTCAATCTTCACAACCCCATAATGCCGATTAATTTTGAATTTGTAGATTGTGTTACCTCATAATTTCACTTCTTCATAAATTCTTTTTCCTAATTTAGAATTAGTGGGGGTGTATTGTATTCTGATTAAAGACGTATACGAAGACTGGAGGTCATGACAAATCTTGTGACGATCCTGGTTTTGCCTTTTACATTATTCTTAAAATTGAGGGGAGCTTCCTAAATTAAAGAGAATCTTTTTTGGCTGTTTTTAAACAGGATTTTTAGGAAATCGCTATTCATGTTTAACAATTTATAGCTTTTGCAACCATTCCCTTTTCATAAGCAAAGGTGAATGGTGGATAGCAGTGGAATCCAGGACGCGCGTTTCGTTCTATTCGGGACTCGTCAGCTGGATGTACCTGCATTCCAGAGTTGATGTTCACTCTTTTATCTTCACTTAGCTATCAGTTCATTTATGTGTTGAGTTTTATTTCAATAGTGCACTAGGATTTATGTACTTAAATAAGTAGAGAAACTGTTCTCCTAAAGCACTTCAGTTAGCTGTATGGCGTGTTATGTATCTATACACGTCGTTGTGGTTGGAGTCAAAAACTAATTCAGATCAATCCTCTTTACAGAAAAAAAACGACATAGCTTTACGTAATCAGTCATCAGAGTATGGAATTACAGTGACTAATTTATATGATGCCATTTCAGTCCTCTAAATACATTGATGTTTTATGTCTTCGCCGGTTCTCTTTCACAGGTCTTCAAACTAATCACATTCTGTTACAATTATTTAGATAATTACATGAATTTCAGTGATATTGATGGAGTTTATACCTATGGTTTTTCTGTTGAACGCAAAGTAAGTGATTCTAATTGCTTTTCTTTGATGTCTTTAATAGATAGAAAACAATTCATCCTTATGGTTTCTCTTCGGATTTGAAATCGCAAATTAAATGTTTTTTATGCGTTTATATTTGTTTATTCAGTCAAATTACTTTTTTTGTATGACTATGTTCCATGCATTCAGGCAACCAGAAATGAACCTGATCAAATTCCTTTTAAACCCATGATCCTAAGGTTCTAGATCGAGTATCTAAACTACAAAGCCTTTACACCGACGACATTGGGAAAAATTGATACACAATCTATCTTATAAATATCATAAAGCTGTTTTTAAGATTGCCTGTAATATGTTTCATAGTTTTTTCGTTAACTACTACTTCTAAATGATATAAAGGGGAAGTATTTTTCACATAGTTTCACGTTCAATTGTAAGCCTTAAATTATTAATCTTTTGACTTTCTTTTTAGACATTTTTTCCACTTGTCTCATTCATTTCTTCTACGCTTTGACTTATGATGTATTATAGGTTACTAAAATCTTGTTATGTATTTTCGAGTTATGTAGAGATTGTGTCTTAAATGGTGGTTGGAGGTAGTCAACAGGAAACCCTGGACCCGGGTTTCGTGCTATTTGGCACTCGTCAGCAAGGTGTACCTGTAATGTCGAGGGAACTGGTGCTCCCTGACGGATTCGATCCCGTGTCACCCAGCTTCACAGTCAGAGACGTTACCACTGAGCTATCTGGGCGGCGACCGACCTCCTGTAGGACTGAGATGTAGTCACAAGAGATTGCGTCTGTTCTTCCAAATAGCGTTTCATAGAAGTTAATATAATTGGGTTGAATAAGTTTCTATTAAGTGGGATTCAGAAAAATCATGGCATTGTGTTACGAGATCAAATCAATCGATTTATTTAAGTTCTCTGCAATAAATTTTAATATACTAAGAAATACTGTGGAAAATAAAACTGTTAATCATTGACATTGTTAGTATATATATGTATATCTTTGTTTTTGCTCGCTTTGAGATAATAAAGGGAACTGTGTGTAGCTAATTTATTTACATGATTCCAGTTTTATTCAAGTAATGTTTATTGACTATGACAATACGATTCTTTGATATTTTCTTATAATTTTCAACGAACAGTTATCATATTTTCAGAACGCTTAACTCCTAGATCACTGAACTGGCATCCAACGGTGTTAATGTCTAACTTCAATCGATCTATGGTCTTGCATATCCTTTTATCTGTTGTCTGAGGTGGATAACTGTCTTGGTGAGAAGCCGTGACCAGTAGAGTCCAATCTGTGTCGGGTGGAGACAGTTATTCATTTCAAACAACGGCTGAAGGGTTGTGCTAAATCACGGATCGATTGAACTTATTATATTTATTTATTTCGATTATTTATGGTCAGCATTTATTGTTAATGTCCTAATTGAATTGTTGAAAATTTTCTATTTTGAAAACTTACTATAGGCTGATTGTCTTGCCTGTAACAATGTGCCACGAACTCTTCGATTGCAGACTACTTGTACATTAAGAGATGTTATAAATGTTTTGAAGACAGATCCTGAGTTGTGAGTATTGTACTATTATTATTACAAAATGTTTTGTAAACTAAACGACAATAGAGAAATTCATATTATTATATTATGGAAGTTTCATGTTTTTTATTATTGCACCTTCACAATTGTGATTAAATATCTTTACGTGTTATTGTGGAGTTTTTCATCGATGTACTAATAAGTGTATTCCCATTTAAAATAATCTTAATTTCTCCAGTTCCCATTAGAGTTCTATGTATATCCTCTTGTATTGTAAGTGATTATATCGTCATCATTCAGTCTACTAATATAATACAGATATTTAACCATATGTGATTTATTCTTTTTAATGAACTATTGCTAAAAAGCATGAAATTACCTTCATAGTGTAGTTTACAATTTTAATGAATTCATCTTGAGTGTTATTTTACTTTAAGGGAACACTAGTCAATGTAGTTCATTAGATATATTGATAAGTGACTATACCTTACAATACAATCTCAAATTTACATGAACTAAATTACATTGTTTTTTCTGGTCACATCCGTTTTGATTTGTGGGCGAGAATGATAATGATTCGTTGTTTGCTTAGTCAGACTTGTAGATAGTCTGACAGGTGTTTGATGAGTTATATATTCTCCTATCCTTATTATTACTATTACTGGATTGTGTCGGCTTGTTGTCGGTTTTTGATATGGAAATACATTTACATTGTAGTCAGGCTAATCATGTGTTTTTGATCTGTAGAGTAGACACTGGGAGGGAATCTGGTGTAGATATTTGTCTAAAGCAAATTGACTTCCCATTCGTGTAGACAAGGTAAATCCGATCGTTATAACATGTTGTAGACATGATGCAATTGGAACACTAACTACTTAATACCTCTTTTCCATAACTACATAACACAGTTCTATAACAGAATAAAACATATTGTTACTTTATAGTGGTTGTTTTTAGTCAAACCTTTCACATACATACTTTATTATTATCATCATCGGCAAACAGTCCAATGAATCTGTTGTAACTACAAACATATTTAAAGCGATTAGCGCCTTCGACTGATTTATTTTTTATACGTAAAGCATGTTTAACGGTGGATAAGTCCTTGAATATTTCTAACATGAAAAGTGATAAATAATGGCTTCATCAGTATTATATATATATATATATATATATATATATATATATATATATCGCTTCATATTTTGTCCTATTTTCTAGTCAAATGCAGTCACCCAGTATAACAACAATTATTGAAGATCAACATCGTTCATTGTATATCAATCTTCCAGAACTGGTTGATACACTTAAACCGAATTTGTCTAAAACTCTTCAAGGTAGGCATATTAACTATTCAAGTTTTCTTACTTCAGTATTATTCAACCCATTTAAATGAAGTGAATTCACATTTTAAATATTTTTTCTAGTTGTAACGTTTACTTTAAATCTCAATAATTCAATTCCTGTTTTGGAAGATTGAATATATTTGAAGATAATTCTTGGTATGAAATGACATCAGTCGAAGAAATGCTAGAAGTAACCTTTTTGATCACTAACTTCAATTCTTTCCATATTTGAATCTAGAATCTATAGTTACAAAGCAAAACACAATGACTTTTCAATACTTTTCATTAGTTTTACTTTAATTCCACTTTCGAAAGTGAATTCTAGCCATTTTACAAGTTGATTTTTATAAATAATATCTGATAATCTTGTCTCGGTATGTGTTCTATTGCCAGTTCATTCAAAAAATTTTTCGTCTAACCGACTTTATAGCTGTTTAAAGTTGAAAATCTTAACAGTCTCTGTCTGATAGACTGATAGATAATTATGATCAATTAATCTATAAATCTGAATACTGACGAATCGATGTTTAGTTTCATTTAAGTAATTTATCAATCTGATTAACTGTTATTACTTAGCTAGATAAATTTGCTATTGGCACATAGTTGCAGCAAATCTGTAAGTATTAATATGGTGTATGCTGAGATGGTGGAGATTTGTAGCTCAGGTGAATGATGTTAATGTAGTTTGGTTCTATGCGCTGGATGTTTTAGCCGTGGAGCTTTCTTTGTTCTTTTGAACGACGTTGTCAGCAGAAACTTCAGGTAGAAGTCAAGTATTCGGATTTCTCCACATGTGGTTCACAGCTTGTCCTGTACACTCCGACACATCAGCACATCGACATCGAGGTGTTGATCATCATCAATGTAGAGCTTGGCGCAGATGTCCTTTGGGCCTAATTCCCATACCTTATTATAACAACAATGTGAAGTTATCAGTATAGGGTTGTGAAGATTGTTAGGTTTTTATGGAGATCATGAACCGGTCAATGTTAGAGCACCATTGAAAACCTGGAAGCGCTAGACGGCCCTTTCGTCCAACTATGGAACTCCTCAGCAGTGCAATATCGTGGATTGGTTGAAGATGGCGGTCTCATATCAATCGGTTCATGATTTCAATAAAAACCCAATAATCTCCACAACCTTATACTAGTAAGTATCATATGCTCACTAGTGAATAGTTTAAAACGGTAATTGTCGGAGTTCTAGTAAGAAGCCATGACCAGTGAAGTTGAGCCATGTCGGGAGTGAGGCAGTTACCCATTGCAGACAATGGAAGATGGTCGCACAACATCGTGGATTAGTTGTAGCAAGATACTAACACTTTTTGACCTCGGCTCAGTGGTCTAGGGGTTAAGCGTTTGCGTGCAAGGTCGAGGGTGCTGGATTCCAATCTCACATGCATGATTGCGGAGACGTACTGCTGATGAGCCCCATATTAGGACGAAAGGACTTTCCAATGCTTCAAGGTTTTTAATGGTGGTCTAACATTGATATTTTCCTAATTTCAATAAAGAAGTATGAAGTTAACGATCTAAATGACAAAAGATATCGAAATATAGTATTAATGACAGTGAAAAGGAATAAGCATAAAGAATATAGTCCGAAAAACATAGTCGAAACTTACGCACTAATAATTTTTGAAACTCAAATATCAAACAGAAGATAAAAAATATGTGGATTTTTAACTACTGATACATAAATGTAATGAATATAAACTTGTATATATCGTTATGTAGCCTATATTTAAAGTTTCAAACTTTTTATTATGAAGATTTAGTACGGAGCTCTTGATGAATGCATTAAATCAACTGATATCCTTCTTTTTTTGTTTACAACGTTCAGACTATGTTTTACTTAATACGAATTCTATTTCCACGTTCAGTTTATTTATTTATTTGAACACATAGATATTGGTACAAGGAGGCACCAAATACATATACGCCACACAAATCTCATTTGATTTGTGTGAGGGCAGTAATACTCTCCGGGTACCCAAACCGAAGCAGGTGGTTTTCTTAGGAGGCCACACCCGGAGCCTTTGATCTTAAGGTCTGATCCACAAGGCAATGGAGCAACGTAAGGAGATGCAGTTTCATGGTAGCCGGTGACCTACGATTGGTACATACACCATTTGATCTCTCAAAATCCTGGAGCCCATGTTCACCATTAGTTTGTAATCACGGTTTTTCAACTCCCCTAAGTGGACCCTCCATGTCCACCAACCCTGTTAGAGCGCTAGACATTCACTTTATAAAATCTGTTAATTTTTTCAGATCTATTTATTATAATTCTAAAGTTTAGTTGTAGAAGACATTAACACTGTTGGATACCAACTCAGTGGTATAGTGGATAAGCACTCATATGCAAGACTGATAGACTCTGGGTTCGAATCTCGCGAGACGAGATCGTGGATACACACTTCTGAGGAGTTCTATACTAGGACGAAAAAAACTGTTCAGTGCTTCCAAATTTTCTATGGTGATCTAGCTTCAATTGACTGATGAATTCAAAGTTAACAACACATCTAAATGATTAGACTATAATATTAAAATAGTTATTCATCTTAATGTTTTAATAACATTTAGAATAAATTCAATAATTTTTTCGTGTGTAAACATCATTCTATTGTATTTAACTATGCTGATCATTGATTGTTTATATTTATTTATTTATTAATAGAACTTGGTCTTATTAATGGTCAAATAATTCATGTTAGTGATATTACAACACCTAGAACATTATCTATAAAGCTTCATTTGGATGATAATTATAATGCAAATCATTTGATCACTATCAATTAACTTCATTATAATAAATTGTTTATTCATGATAATAACATGATTATTATGTTTATTATGTCTTATATCTTTGTATATGATTATTTTAGTTGTCATAATAAATATAACATTATTTGTTGTTTTATTTTCTCTTTTTAAATGATACTACTTTATGGTGATTTTTCTTTTTCTTTTGTTTTTCTATTCATGAGAATGTTTATATTAGATATTTGAAAATCATTTTCAACATAGCTGTTATTGTTGTTTGTTTGTCAAGAGTAGCATTTAGTGTATGTTTGTACATATAAAGTTCAAAGTGTATCTGTATCTGTTTGTTCTATTTATTTATTTATTTATATTTATTTTAACACACAGATATTGGTACAAGGAAGCACCAAAAACATATGCGCCACACAGATCTCATTTGATATGTGTGAGGGCTATGATACTGCCACGAGTGCTCAAACCGAAGCAGGTGGTTTTCTTAGTAGGCCACACCTGGAGCCTTTGACCTGAAGGTCTGATCCACAAGGCAGTGGAGCAACGTAAGGAGTTGCAGTCCCATAGTTGCCAATGACCAACGATTGGTTCATATGTCATTTGTTCCTTCAGGATACTGGAGCCCATGTTTACCATTGCTTTGGAATCAGGGTTTTCCAACTCTCCTAGGTGGACTGTCTATGTCCACCAACCCGGTTAAAGCGCCGAACGTTTGCCTTTCGTCATCTGAATTTCGTAAACAACAGCGATGCCACGAGAAGGCAATGAGTAGAAATTCCCTGGCAGAGGCTATATACGCGTGGCTATGTTTGTTCACGAAAGATAATGCATGGATCATTCAATATTACAGTATTGAATGTAGTTATACCGCTTTGCATTGTGAATAACTAACCTTTTTTTCATAAATTAATGTAGTTAAGAAATGTATTTTATTATATTTACATAAAGATTTCTATCCCTTATGTATTTTGAGTGTAGAACATTAAACGTTTCAGTGTTAAGAGTTTCTTGAATTTGTATGTATTCAAGTCAGTACTAGATGTAATGATTTCTAGTACATACGATTTGTTGATGCTCATTATTATTGAGCTTAAAGTTAGTTTTAGATACTTTCATTATTGTTTCATTCTATACGATGTCATTTATAATTAGGCCAAGATTACATCAACAATGAATCATCATCTAACAACTGTTTTAATTTCCTTTGGTTTTTACATTGAATATAACATTAATTTTGATCGGTTAACTTTCTAGGATTGAAATTATTGACACATATATTTAACGGGTGAAATTATTTAAGATAAAACTTAAAAATTAGTTTCATCTGATGGCTAATGTTGATAGAAATCACAATTTAAATTCTTGTCAAAATATTTTAATATACTTCTGAGATGAATATTCTCATCTGATCCCTTAGTGTTCCTGAGTGTTGTTAGAGGTATGAGGGCGGCGGTTATAGATTCCCGGTTGCCCACACTGTGGAAGGGTTCTTCTGGAGGTGCCTGAAAAGAAAATTGGATTAGAGGTGGTCTTAGTGACGTAAGAGCGCGACCGCAGTGCCCAAGGGAAAACTGCTTGAGGTCGGTCACACACGACCTTTTTATGAGTAATTCCCGTGTCAGCTCCGTACTTGTTGAGACCTTCCCGCCGGAAACGGATATTCATGGGATAAGGCGAGCTGTGCATTTTTAGGGTCGACCTTTTCTAACCCCACCCCCCTGCCCGCAAATGCCCTGGTATGGCCGAGAGCGGGGTGGGTTCGCCCTCCCTCTCGAAATACTTTCACACGGCCACGGGTATACAGCCTCTGCCAGGGGAGTCCTACTCACTGCCTTCCCGTGGCGGGGGTGTTGTTTACGAAATTGCGAGGACGAAAAGCGAATGTCCGACGCTTTAACCGGATTCCAAATCAATGTTGCACATGGGCTCCAGTATCCTGCGGGAACAAATGGCGTATGAACCAATTGTTTGTCACCGGCAACCATGGGACTGTATCTCCTTACGATGCTCCACTGCCTTGTGGATCAGACCTTCAGGTCGAATGCACGGGGAGTGGCCCCCTAAAATAACCACCTGCTTCGGTTTTCTCACCCAGGCAGTATCGCAGCCCACACACAACTAATTAACTGAACTGTCTATGATCATGGAAACTTATTCTCTTGCTTCGACGAACATTCAAATGATTCAATCATTATTATTATTATTTATTTACGACGTCATTATTCACACTCTCTTTATACTTATTTTTTCGACTTATACATCAGCTCGTCTATAGTGGAAATTCGACTGTATCTAAACGTTCTCGAGTCACTGTCCAGTTGAAATTTGTATGTTACCACCGAATACAAGTACTGAAGCAGTTTTTCTGAAACCACGTGCACCATTCAAACTGGCTGCCTTCAATGTTCGCACACTTATGCAGGTTGGACAACAGATAGGGCTGGCTATGTCTTTGGAAAGTCTTAATATCGATGTCTGCTGTCTATCCGAGACCCGTATCCAAGACTCTGGTGAAGTACTACAAATTCGCTCTACATCTGTCACTTCAAAAAGCTTGTTTTACGTGCGCTTATCCGGGGACCCTGTGGCATCTTCGTCTGGTCTCGCTGGCGTTGGTGTCGCACTAAGCGCTAGAGCTGAGGCAGCACTAGTCGATTGGATCCCCATTAACAGTCGGTTATGTGCTGTTAGATTAGAAAGTTCCATCAAAGTGAGAAGCAATCGGCTTGAGAAACGATGTCTTTTCGTCATCTCCGCCTATGTCCCGACAGATTGCAGCCCGGAAGCAATCAAGGATGAGTTTTACCACCAGTTATCTGTTCTTCTCCAGAAAGTGCGTTCGACAGATATTGTAGTACTAGCCGGAGACTTGAATGCTCAGGTCGGCCATCTAGGCACATAAGAGAGTCGTTTAGGTGGCCTATGGGGACTTGTTAGTCGCAGGTCAGATAACGGGGACCGTCTACTGCAACTGTGCACAGACCACAACCTGTTTCTGGCTAGCACTAACTTTCGGCACAGTCATCGCCGATGTGCCACCTGGCGTCCTCCCTCTGCATCTCAAGCCTGGACTCAGATTGATCACATCGCGATCAGCTACCGCTGGCGTGGTTGTGTACAAGACTGCCGCTCCTTTTGGAGTACCTATCTGGACTCTGACCGTGCCTCGGTCTGCGCCAATCTTACCTTACTTTTCAGTGGACAACGAAGTGACCGCCACCAACGGATTGATGTTAGCAAGCTGGTTGCAACTTCTGTTGCAAGTAAGTATCGAACCGAGCTAGTTTCTAGGCTAGCTACCACTCCACCGAAAAGTATAGATGAGCATTGGTTGCAATTGCATGACGCCATGAAAATAGCAGGTACAGTCAGTTGTGCGTTCGCGAAACCTCCCGCTTTTAAGCACTGGGTTTCTTCAGGTTTCTTACAACTCATTGCAGCCCGTCAGTCTACTCCGGGTGACCGTGAGTTTGACCTTAAACGAAGGATGTTACGTAAGGAAATTGGGCAAAGCTTGCGTAAGGACCGAGAAGCCTGGTGGTCGAAGCGTGCTAATGAGCTGGAAGCAGCAGCTGCATCTGGTAATTAACGGAAGCTTTTCCAACTCATCCGAGCCACTGGCAGCAAGATGTATGGTGTGAGCGAAACAATCTGCGAGGACGACGGGGTGCCAATCACTAACCTTCATCGACGTCTTGGACGGTGGGCAGAATTTTTCGAAGGGCAGTTCAACTGGCCTGCTGCTCCGGCAACATCGGTCAGACTGTCCTGCCCTCCATGGCCGGTGACGACTGATCCAACAAACGAGGAGGAAGTCCGCAGGGAACTCCAACTCTTGAAGCGCTACATATCACCTGACCCAGATGTCTTACCTCCGGCTCTTTTTAAAGATGGTGGTGACATTTTGACTAAGGAATTGACGACGTTGTTTACAAAGGTCTGGGAACTAGAGAGTGTGCCAACGTCATGGAATGAGTCGATAGTTGTCCCTATCTTTAAAAAGGGTTCACGTCGTTCCTGTAACAACTATCGGGGGATAAGTCTACTTCCGATTGCGTCCAAGCTATTGGCTTCCGTCATTCTTCGTAGGTTGTTCAAAACCCGAGAAAGATTGACTCGCGAGGAGCAGGCTGGGTTTCGTTCTGGTCGAGGATGTATTGATCATATATTCACCCTCCGCCAAATGTTAGAACACCGCCATACTTATCAAAGGCCAACAATCGTAGTGTTTCTTGACATCAGCGCTGCCTTCGATTCGTTGGACAGGACTGTTCTCTGGGATTGTCTATTGAAGAAAGGTGTGGCTGAGAAGTTTATTAACATCCTAAAAGCCCTATATACAAACACCTCAGGCAGAGTGAGGGCATACAACCAACTCTCTCCATTGTTCCATTCGAGCAGTGGGGTTAGGCAGGGTTGCCCAATCTCATCATCCCTCGCTAACTTTTCCATCGATAACATTCTGGAAACAGCTCTGATGGATGTAGGCAATGGCGGTGTGGATCTTTTGCCTGAAGAAAGACTTCTCGACCTTGAGTATGCGGACGATATTATCTTACTGTGCGATAATGCCCAAGGCATGCAATCCGCACTTAATCTGTTGGCAATCAGTGTCCGTAGGTATGGTATGTGCTTTGCACCTTCGAAGTGCAAAGTTCTTCTACAAGACTGGCAGGATTCCAATCCTGTACTCACTCTGGATGGTGAGCAGATAGAAGTAGTCGAGAAGTTCGTGTATCTGGGTAGCTGCCTAAGTGCTGGTGGGGGTGTGAGTGATGAGATAAATGCACGTATAGTGAAAGCCAGAGTGGCTTATGCCAATCTGGGCCATCTTTGGCGCCTTCGTGATATCAGTCTGGCTGTGAAAGGTCGGATCTACAACGCGTCGGTGAGAGCAGTTCTACTCTATGCTTGTGAAACCTGGTCTATCCGAGTTGAGGATATTAGACGACTCTGTGTTCGATCATCGTTGTCTCCGAAGGATTGCTGACATCCAATGGCATCGCGTGTTCGGGCACAGAGATGATAATGCAATCGATGTCACCATCTTGAGACGCCGACTTCGGTGGTTTGGACATGTTGTACGAATGTCGTTCCAAAGAATTCCATGTCGTGCATTATTTGCCGACTCTAGGACTGGTTGGAAATAGCGGAGAGGTGGTCAGTGCATGACATGGTGTCGTGGTATGAAAGAAAGCTACAAAGGGCTGGATTCTGTCGGTCCTTCACGACTCCCTGTTTGGGGTCTGAGAGATGGTGCTACACAGTGGCTAGAGACGTTATCAGATATGGCTCAGAATAGAAGCCAGTGGCGATCCTGCTGTAACCTTCTTTTACTTTCTTCATAAAGCGTGGTTGTATCTTCCTGAACTGAAAGATTTCTTCTGATTGTACCCTTCTGTTCCCCTACTATTGCTATTATTATTACTACACTACCTTACACCAATCTCTTCGTTATTGTTTTTTTATAGTTATAATTATTACTTCTATTTTACGTTCCTCACTTTTTTTCTCTTAGATTCTGATTGTTTTGTGTGGCGCATATATATTCGGCGCACTCCTGTACCAATATATATGTGTTCAAATAAATAAATAAATAACCCCACCCCTCGTTGTGTGAATGCAGCATCGCTGTTATGCTGGCTGTCTGAAGGAAACATCTTACTGCTGTCACATTTCTGTACAGTCAGCAGTACGACTTCGCCTTCGGACCTTGGGTTTGCTGCTTTATTCTTAACGCTCTTCAACCGACCTGTCTGACATGGTAGGACCTTGAGGAACGATAGTTGCAGCCAGTATAGCTCGATTGGTTAATTGCGATAGGCAAGCCCGACCACCACGTCAAGGTAGCATTAACGGTCGGGTAATCTGATCCCACATCCGAATAATTTAAATGGCGTGCTTCCGACTATTTCCTGTCATGAACATATAGCTGCTGATGTTTCTTTCTAATGAAATAAATATTTAACGTAAGAGTTTCCGTTATTCTATAACATTAGTTGAAAATCATGGATGAAATAATTCATATAGCTTACTTTGTTAATTAGTTGTGAAAATACTTTTATTCATGGATTGATTTCTACTAGGGAGAGCTGTTTCTTCTGTTATCGAGAGTTCTCGATAACGGGCATTCATAACCTCACCTAGAATCGACTTTAAATGCTTTAAGTTCGCTTTACTATTATTTAAGGTACTGTGATTTAAGCTTTCCAAATTCGGAGTTTTAAATGCTTTGAAAATAAACTTGTTTTAACATCACACTCCTATGGGTATATTTTGGGACATTTGCAATTCGAGCCAAATGTAGAATAGTGTACTGCGAAAGTTATTTTGGCTGTAATAGCTTTACTGTATGATGCTTCAGTGTGTATAGTTCTGCCATACTTGTTTCACTTCATCTTAAAGATGATTAATTATTACTGCCCCCATAACTTCGTTCTAAGTCGGTCCTATCCGTATGTGAACATAACTGAAATTATTATTTGTTCAGTGAAGTTATTTTGAAAACACTCTTCTGTGGCTTTTATTTCTGAGGCATCTTCATGTTTTCTACAGTATGTACTGTTTGTAAGAAACTGAAGGAATTATTACGTACCAATCCTTAGTCTCATTGTCTTACCGTTTGTTAGCTTTAATATTGTAACTCATTCACTAAATACTAGTTTATTTACCGAACATCAAACAACATGGTTCCTTTACTGATAGTCATCTACTAATCGATTTGGCTGAATAAATAAAAATCTGTAAAGATTATTAGTTATCTGTTACAGAAGATTAAGAATCCGTTCATAATTACTGATATACCTAGATATAATTAGAGAAATTGATTTATAGTTAGAACGCTTAGTAAACGATTGTCTAGCTTGGAGTTACATTAAACGAACAGCGGTTAGATTTTTTGCGTTTGACGTTCCAGTAATTTGAATGCATTAGGCTATAACTCACATTTTTATTTGGAATAGATACATCACTTCAATCGTTCATCTTGGTGTTCCCACCTATGTTTATTTTATGGTAATCGAATTTCCTTACCTATAACCAATCAACAACCACAATCCTTTTTAAGTTCATATGTTGCTAGCAAACCAAAGAAATCTTTCAAGTTGGTGACCTTGATTTCTGAACCATATGCTTCACATGACGCTTGGCATCCAACTATACCCCCTCCACCTGAATCAGGTCCTGCAGGTTGTTGCACATGGTCAACTGTATTTTCTGATTCTATTTCAAAACCAATCATTATTGATGTACGAAGTCCTGATGAATTTAATGAAGATCACATTCACGGAGCAATAAATCTTCCTGTTTTAAATAATGAAGAAAGAGCAATCGTTGGCCGTTTGTATAATCAAGGTAAGCTGCTAGGTTAATTATTTGTATGGAAAACTCAATATTTAAGTTAACTCTCCTGAATTCTTTATATAAGAACTTTGGTGTTTGATTATATTTCCTTGAAAAAACTTGGACCAGCTTGCCAAGCGGAACGTTGGATTTATTACTTCAAAGTCGTTCGCTGTGATCTCACAAATACATTCTCCCTTCTTGATGTCTCCTGAATTCTTGGTTCAGATTACTTCATTTCTTGAAATTTGGACAACTCACTGGTAACAATAGTTTCCAAATTATGGCTAAAAATAATGTATATAAATCTTTTCCACAGTTACCACGTTGTATTGTAGTGAACGGGAACACAGGCAGGGACAACCTAAATGTATTTCAATACAACATTACAGAATATCTTGGTAAAATCTGAGAACCATACGGTAAATTATTCATTTGTAAAAAGTCAATTAATTGTCTAAGACTTGACAGTTCCTTCGTTTCCACACCAATCACTTTCTGTTCTCATTCTCTTTTCTTCGGTCTTCTTAACCATCTGCCTCCAGGCATCTTACTTTCGATAGATGAGACAAACTAATAATCTAAATTTACTGTCTGTTTAGAGAATAATTATCAGTATAGGGTTGTGGAGATTATTGAGTTTAGAATGATATCCTGAATGGATCAATGTTAGTCCACCATCGAAAACTTGGGAGCACTGGACGGCCGTTTTTTCTTCCTAGTATGGGACTCCTCAGCAATGCGCGTTCATGATCCTGCACATAAGAATCTTACCCCGGACCCTCGATCTCTCACGCGAACACTTAACCTCTAGACCACTAAGCCAGCATCCAACGGTAGAGAATAGTTTTAACTTAAAGTTGATAATTATCATAGAAGATTTCTCGTCAAAATTAGCGCTTGTTTTTTATAATGTAGTTCGATCCCCTATTAAAGTTTCTTGTATTTATTATCTTTAGAGTGAATATTCTTATTCGGCTATAAAAAAACATTTGCCATTCTGCTAATAATTTTTTATCATTGTCATTATATTATGAAAAACAAAGAGAATTTCAGCAAAATAATCTGTTTGCAATAAATTCGCCGGTCTATGGCAATATTATAATTTATGGACGAACCATTCAGATTTAAGATAACAGGTCTTGGATTTTGGCGCGAAATTCATTCACCCATTTGGTTAAATACCATTTTGGCATTATAGTTGATGTCAGTTCGTGATGAAAACGCTTAATCTAATTCCTAACCCTAATGTACAACTGTAAATTCTTATTGTAATTCCCCACACTAATCTATAACTCTCATTTACCGCTATTAAGTAGGTGAACATTCTAAGGTCATTTTAGCGTTGTTCATAGGTCGTCCATAAGTTATAGTCTCACTGTTGTTTTTTTTCTTCAATGGTTTTACTCATGTAACGTTTATTAGTGAATCGACATGAATGTTGATTATCATTGTCATGCGAAATGTGATTTATATATGTATACCCAAAATCCAATGTTCAATATTGAAACTTTCATTGCTAAATTAACTATTGCGAACAATATTAAGCCATTGAAGTGTCTATTTTTGTTTAAACTGGTTAATTACTGGTAAGTACATTAATTATTCGTTTTTTAAATGTTTTACAATCACTTATTTAAGATCAAGGTGTTTCCACAAGTAGCTTTTTCTGATAAACATTGGGTGTTAAATGATACTTGTATGGCATAAAGCAATGTATTGTAGATGTCACGAGTAAATGGACGTGTGCAGGTCAATATATATGTACGCCGTTATAAGCTAATTTCATTAGTTCAATTGTTTGACATTTTAATACAATCCCAATGATTCGAACACTAGTTCTTCTCATAGATTTCATTACCGATTGATCTTAGTCACACAACTATAACTCCAAGTTATGGACCAATGGACCAATATGCGTTCACAACTTCTGTCCTTAGATGCTTGATCTCCAGACAGCTGAACCCTGTGTCCAATGGTTTACATATGTAACTCCAATCACTTGGCAATATTGCTCGACTATCTTCCATTAACTACATTTGATCATTGCCTCACGCGCAACATAGTTTAGCCCTACTGGTCACGGCTTCTCACTAGAACTATTGAAAATACATATCAAAGTAAGTCACACGTAAGCACATGACCATTATTACTGTTGGAGGCTTGTAGATGTTGAATTTCCATAGAATGCATCATCCGTTGATTTTAGTGTCACAACCAGAAAGCACTTAAAAATTGTCAAGTTGTGGTACGAGACTCTTAAACAGTGTACATCCACGCCCCAACTAGAAATATTAACCGGAACCTTCGGTCTCGCGAGCACCTAAATACTAGATTACTGAGCCGGTGAACAGTAATGTGAATATTTAAGTAGTCCTTCCGTTTGAAATTAAATTCACATTCACAAAGTATCCAAGCATAATTAAAAAATTATCGAGTTCAGTTTTGTAAAATATCACCACAACTTACTGTTCATGGTTCAAATAATTTCGTATTGTTCGCTTAAAACGTTTACCAAAAAAGCATATCTTTCACTTAGTTCGTAGACGAATATAACGACTATATGAATAGAATATCATGAATTTTGATTGAGTTTTGGTTCTCTGAGCTGGATGGTTTGGTCGTGGAGCTTTCATCGTTCTTCTGAACGATAACATCAGTACAAATTTCAGGTAGAAGTCATTTCATTAAGTTCTCGTCGTCTGCATATCATCTGTGTTACTTTAAATTCATCATTATAAAATGAATTTAATCAGAAGTAGTTTTAACATACACACATCAGTGTAACTTAACAAGAATGTAAATCATTTAAAGAGACAAAATAAAATATTGCAAATGTATAGTTTTTATATGGAAGAAGAACATTGTACAATAGGTGTTGTTCTAATTTTCACAATGGAAATCTTTAATATTGTAAAATCGCGTGTGGACCCTGTTGCATTCAAGTCACTCAATAAGTTTCTGAAGTTTAATGCACATCTCACAGAAGCGAAAATGAGTTTAACAAAAGCAACTCAGAGTTCATGTTACTCTACTCCAAACCTTTGAAATTATCTTAGTGTGAATTTCTTTCAGCTAAATAATATACTGACTTCACAATTTCAGAATATTTTTTTGTATATTATTGTTTTCCCAATACACATAGATGATCGTATTCAAGCTCGCCTTTATGGTGCATCTTTGGTCTGTGCTAATATTAGTCGTTGTTTGAAAGAACTTTCTTATCAATATGGTTTACAACTAGACAATTCGGTTCCTGTAAATCATCACTCTAATGGAAACAGGAAAATTGTAAAATATCCCGATTTTTTTATTTATTGTTGGCGTGGAGGTCAAAGATCTAATTCTTTAGCAACTATATTATCTGAAGTAGGCTGGCCGGGTAATATATATACACTTGTTGGTGGATATCGTTCTTGGCGTAGACTTCTACTTCGTCAGTTGGATGCATGGCCTCGTTGGTCTATACTGAGTCCGTTTTGGGTCATATCTGGTCTTACTGGTAAGTTTTTACACTAATGTTATTTGTCTTAACGGAATTATGTCATATGTATTTCTGGTGATTGATTTTAGAACGATACTACCTTTAATACCTTATGAGCGTTACTTTTTTAATCTTCAAGAGTGTGAGAAATGTGTATTTGTTGTTCAGTAACAAAATACAATCAGTTTATTAGTCATTATTTAGATTCGAACTTTTCTCCCACTATTTCGGTATAAGCAGTCACGTATTATCACCATCTGGTTTTCTAATTTCTTCGATGTATAACTAAACATACGAGTCTGCATTTTTTTACGGAATCCCAGCTTATACCTTCAACTGCAAAAGCTCAACCGAGGATTTATAGCAAGTGACGTATATCTTGAAATGTTCTTATTTGACTCTGTGTTGTCAATGATACATATTCTAAATTCGATATCCAGTAGGTTCATAGACATACGCACCTCTCAAACCTTAACTTAGAAAGTAAACAGCTCTCTATGTACAACAGAAAGTAGAGAGAGTTTAGTTTCGTTTTTCTGAAAACTTCGCCAAATATTGATATTAGTGTAATTTCTCTATAGTTCTCACGTTTTGTATGATCTTTTTTTAGTACTTTGATGAGGTAACTTTCTTTCTACTCTTAGTTTGTGGGGAGGGGACGATGCCACTTATAACCATATTGTTGAAAACACAGACTTGTCAATCTCTCACCATTCTCGTTTCTTTCTCCCAATCTATGTCGCCCCATGATTTCTTCATACCCGTTGTTCACACCGACCCCGACGTTCAGGTCCATCATCAGGATGGTCATTTCTTTTTGTAGGTTACTCTGTACGATGGACTCTATTCTCTCATTAAATTTATCTTTATCATCGTCGCTGCTTTCATTGATGGGTGAGTAAAAGTGTATGAGTTTCTTCGTCATCTCTTCCTTTGTTTGTTTTGTAGGATGCTTCGATAATCCTGAAGCCATGACATTCCCATTTTATAGGCGCTCTTCTAATTTCTTTGGAGAACATCAGTGCAACCCCTTGCGTATGTGGGACATTGTCTTCTTTAGGATCATAATATAATAGCACTTACCAAAGATAGTCTTCATGTTGACATTTCATGTACATATATTAATTGTGTTGTTCTGGTTTTTAGAAGGGGTTTTGACCTCGTGACTTATGAACTATTTTGGTTTTCATCATGAGGCATCATAACCCTTCTAAATGAAAACCTTTTGACTCTCAAGGTAGATTTCGAATGATTTTTACTGGTTGGGTTTTTTTTACCAAGGTCGTTTTTATAGGATGGGATCGCTAATCCTATGATCAACCCTTTAGGACCGAGAGTAACCCTAGAATAGCTTTAGGTGTATTTTCACGAGAAACTAACGACGTAAAAAGGATTCGTGTTATTCTACCTAAAATTTTGTCCTTGCTCTCTTTAGGCTAGTACAAGGAACTATGTATATGAGTGTTTAATTTTTTTCCATTTATTTCTTTGCTTGTTGATCACATAAAAGGTTCCGGGAAATCTTTAATACTTCAAGAGTTACACGATCATGGTGAAACCGTTTTCGATTTAGAAGCTTTGGCTAAACATAAAGGTTCAATGTTTGGTGGTGATAGTGTATTATCAAATAGTGACACTAGCGATCATCAAAGCTCTACCAATAAAGGTAGTCAACAAAAGTTTTTTGAATCTCAACTTCATAATGTAATGATGACAAATAAGCATCGATTGTCATCCTGCAAAAATATTTTATGGATCGAATGCGAATCACGGCATATTGGACCAGTTTGTGGGTTATCTGATGGTTTATGGTCACGATTAAGATCTACAGATCCAAATGTTGGCACCCATCGATTATGGATTGATATTACAGAAGAAGCAAGAGTTGCTTGGATTTTAGAAAATTATTCTACTGTTACTCGGAATGTTCCAAAAGTTCTAGCTATTCTCAAAAGGTGAGTATTGAGTGTATTGTGTGGAGTAAAAATTAATTCAAATTTTCTTATTGACGATCTGCAATCATTAAACATCTCATCATAGTACATGTCATGTTGAGTTACTTGGACTACCAGACAGATTACTACATTTTTGATAAAATATATTTAGCAATAAAAGGTAAACGAGAAATTCTTCACTACTTAATCATCCATCGGTTGTAACACGAATAATCCAACCTATCGTCATAAGTTACATTTTTTTCATCAACTTTGTTTTTGCTTTCGGTTTTTTTTATAGATTAACTCAATTGGATAGCCCGAATATAGTTCTACTATGTGTAGGATAGAAGAAGATAATCAGTGGTGAAAGTTATTCAGTTAAGTACAACTATTGATTACTGGGTAGTGGCTAGTATCATATTTGTATAGTCCTCAGTGTTAGTCAAATTTTATTGAACAATTTGCAATCTGGTCTGGTCTAAATGATTTTAAATTGCCTGGCCTATTTTTTTTATGGTAGGTATGTAGGTAGGTAGATGGCTGGAGGTAGTTGGTAAATATTTGTCATGCAGAATATCGGTATCTGCAAAACATCTGAGTGGTAACGTTTCAGACTGCGAGGCTGAATAACTCAGATGGGGATCCGGTAGTGAACAGTAATGCACTCAGGATCGCAATTTCACCTTGCTGACTAGTGTCATCTGGCTTATACTTTTCAATACATGAGTATAAATTTTGTTATTTGACGTTAAGATTCGACTCTGTAGACTGTGGCAGTGTCTATCATTTGAAAGCATACCAAAGACGTACATCAACCTTGTACAGGCTCTTTACTTGAACACTGGTGGTTGAGTTAAAGCTTATGTCCAACTCGTCAGAATTTTCAACTTCAAGTAGTGTTCGTCAGGGTTGTCTGCTTTCTCCATTTTTACTTAACTTTGTCATAGATATACTTTTAAAAATAATACATTCATCGTCTGACTTTTCAAGGATTGATCTCCCACCAAGATATTCTCTTGTTTTCTTAGTATACGCAGATGATATAGTTCTGTTTGGTGAATGCACTGACAAAATTGATAATATTCTGAGCGTTTTAAAGAATAATGCAAGCATGTTTGAGATGTGTTTCTCTTTCTAAATGAAAAAATGTTGCTTCGGCACTGGTCTGCATCAGCATCCAATTAATGACAAGTACGAAGTAGTTGAGTGCTGATTGGCTGTTGTCTAATGAAATCTCAACATGTATTCGAGAAGTTCGATCGACTTTTGCCAATTTGCATCACTTGTGATGTAAGCGAGATATCCATCTTCCAACCGAAGGACGAGTTTACCACGCAGCAGTTCTCTTCATCCTTTTTTATGAATGTGAAACATGCCCATTAAGGGTAAGGGATATTCGTAGGTCACTAAGATTCTATTATAGGTGTCTTCGAAGCATTGTTCACGTATTTTGGATCCATTTAGTACGCGATCATTGGGTTAGGAATAAGGTACTAAATAAGGATGGCTAATCGATTGATGAGTTAGTAAATCTTCACGAACTGAGGTGATTGAAACATGTGATACATATGCTCGACCAGTGCCTTCCTCGACGGTCGATTTCGTCTGATTTAGGAGTAATCTGTGAGATAGCTAGAAGAGACCAAACCAAGCCTTGGGGCCAATCCATAAAGTCATTGACAGTCGAACTGGGTTTAGATTGTCTGATTGAAGTCCATGTGATTATCGTAATCAGTGGTTAGAGACTTTGAATGACGTCGTGTAAATTGTTTGTAATGGCTCAAGCACATCCACTTTTTGTCTTTTCGCAAATTCTGACTTCATAAATCCCTCACATAGTTCTTGTTTCACTAATTTATATTTTCTCAGATGGTATCTTCGATGTCCAATCTTTCGTATTACCAGTGTCACTATTACTATGTCTGCTATCGTATGATTTGACCTGAAAATTTCATCTTGGTGTGCTACTGGGTTATGGCAACTTGAACCGATGTACATATATAACAGGTTCTACTTTGAACAGACCGACTGACTTTTGTTTATGGAGTCCAATGTTCCATCACATACATACCTTTCCATCTTCTCTTTTCAAATCACATCCTCAATCACCAGTCTTTGTTGTCAATGTTTTGTACAACATTATATCTGCCTTTCTTGTCGCTAATTTTTATCTCGTTTTGCTAATGTGATATGTTTCGATGCACGTCTATGTCAGGCTTATATTGTTGATGATTCGCATAGTATAATTCTAGGACAATATCTCGTCATACTTTGAATCTACAGGGCTTGTAATATTCCACTCTTTATATACTTTCATCTTTTCTTCGTTGGATTACATTAATGGCTTTAGTTGCCTCATAATTACCTAGTCGTTGTGTTTAGGTGGGAAAAAAAATAACTTGTAATAAAATTGTATTTGTCTTATTTATGCTTGACTTCATTTAGTTTCTCTTTTTATTATAAATAGTTTAAATGAATATATACCAGATAAATTGATTAATCAGTGGACTGAAATGGTACATCGTGAAGATTTCACCAGTTTTGTAACCGGTTTACTTCGACATCATTATGATCCATTGTATATAAAAAATCGTCGTCACATAATAGAAGATGCTAAAAAGAATGGTTTATTCCATCGTCTCTCTCTTCATAGTGTTGACAGAACAACTATACAAACAAAAATTATACCACAGATATTGGATTTAGCATATACTACAAGTTCTTCTGATCTACAACAAAATCAGTTACCTAAAAGTCATATAGCTATTTAAACTTTTGCATTTTTCTTTTGTATCTTTATTCATATGAAACATATTTCATGTCTTGTTTATAACTAATATTAACACAGAATTGAGTAGCTTCAGTATTTTTTGATATGGTTTATATCTTTCTATTTAACTGTATATAATGGAAACACAAAATGTACACTTGCATGTATAGAACATTACCATAGTTATTCATAATGAGTTAGTTTATATACAAAATGTAATTAGAATTTGGGGGGGGGGTATTTTTATTTGTAAGGATTAAATCAAATATAAGTTCTGGACAGAAATTCAGTTTTCATTTTTGTTGTTGTTGTTGTATGTTTAGGTATGTGTCTGTTACAGATTTGTTTGAATTATGCTATTTATAATTAAAGTTAGTTGAGATGTTTGAAAAGAACTAAATGTAAAGAAGTATACATTCGTAGACTGCCCAGGTACATCCGAGAGTGGAGAGTCCGCTCTCCTTCTCGAAATGCTCTCACATGACCACGCGTATATAGCCTCTGCCAGGGAAGTCCTACTCACTGCCTTCCCGTGGCGGGGGTGTTGTTTACAAAAATGAGAGGACGAAAAGCGAATGTGCGGCGCTTTAACCGGATTCCAAATCAATGGTGCACATGGACTCCAGTATCCTGTGGGAACAAATGGCATATGAACCAATTGTTTGTCACCGGCAACCATGGGACTGTATCTCCTTACGATGCTCCACTGCCTTGTGGGTCAGACCTTCAGGTCGAAGGCTCGGGGAGTGGCCCCCTAAGATAACCACCTGCTTCGGTTTGCGCACCCAGGCAGTATCGCAGCCCTCACACATATCAAATGAGATTTGTGTGGCACATATGTATTTGGTGCCTCCTTGTACCAATATCTATGTGTTCAAATATAATAATAATAATAAATACCCAGGACCTTCGCACACTGCTAAGGAGTCCCATACTAGGATGAAACGGCTGTCCAGTGCTTCCAGGTTTTCAAAAGTGGTCTAACCTAAATCGATTCATGAATTTAACTATTAAATTAATACAATCTTCACAAACCCCCATTCTGAAAATAATGTTTTATTACTTCTGAATACTAATGACACTATAGTTTGCTCTGAACGAACTATTAACGAATTTATTGCACTTATGGTTTACTCTGTCTCTATTAGATGGTTAGCCAGGAATCAGTCTACCAAAACACAACTCAAATCAAAACACGTAATTAGCCTGTTTACTACGTGTGACAATAGATAACTGAGTTAGTAAAAAGATTAGGGAAATGTCTATGATACTCCATATACCTGTCATATTATCTACCGGTCTACCTGAATCACTGTATACTTTTGTCTTACTTACGCGGGTTACTCCTCGTGGAGGAGCATAAACCATCCCCTAGCATTCTCAGTCGAGCTCTGCTCTAAGTAATCCTTTCCAGTTTCTATTCATTTTTTTCATATCTTCTTCCACTTCCCAACGCAATATATTTTTTGGTCTTCCCCTTTTACCTCCACCTAGGATTCCAAGTTAGGGTATGACTCGTAATGTAGTTTGATAAGTTCCGTAATGTATTTTCTATCCACCTCGAACGTTTTTTTTCTAATTTCCTCTTCATTTGGAAGCTGGTTTGTTCTCTTCCACAGTAGGCTGTTGCTGATGATATCCGGTCAACGGACATTGAGTATCTTGTTTAGATAATTGTTTATAAATACTTCTACTTTTTTGATGAAGTTTGTGATAGTTCTCGAAGTTTCAGTTCCACACAGTAGAACTGTCTTGACATCCGCATTGAAGATTCTAACTTGAATGTTGGTTGAAAGTTGTTTTGAGTTCCATTTGTTCTTCAATAGTAGGAATGCTGTCCTTTCTTTGCTAATCCTTGCCTTTACATCTACATCGCATCCTCTTATTTTATCGATGATCCTGCCCAGGTATGTAAAACTTTCCATCTCTACCAGAGCTTTTTCGTCAGGTGTGATTGCGTTAGTGTTCCCTGCATTGTATTTAAGCATCTTACTTTCCCCCTGTTGTACTTTTAAGGCTTTTGTAGGCTTGAAGCCTGGTTTAAGGAGGAGGGTTGGGCATGGAGTTAGCGACCCCCTTCCCACAGAAAACAACCTTGCTGGAAAAAGATAACTAGAAAAAAATTAAATCATACTTCTGTCTACACAACAATGTGTGTGGCCCTTGGTCTTTTTGTTATTGTCAATCTCACTTTCTAGTAATTATCTGGCCAGATTGTACCTAATAACATAGAAACACGTTCCACTGCATTTGTATCCGGACTATGACTGAATGACAGTTTACCAGCTCTCAGTTTTTGGGAGACATTCGAAAGTGAAATATAAGCTAATATGGATAGATTTTAAGTGGTTAGATCAAAAAGCCTTGTTTTAAAATAGAATCAAAGGTTAGTGTTAAGACTTTTATTGCAAACTGACATCGCCTACAGTTAAAGAATCCTAATCTTGCATCCTACCATAATAAATTATTTATTTGTCTCTACTGTCTCCTGATTGACTGAAAGTGGTAAGATCTCAAGGTCGTTCTGTGATATAGTACAGCGTTATCTAACATTACGTTTTTCACAGGATGTCTTGATTCCGTTATCTTGCTAATTGTTGAGTTTGTAAAATATCCATTTTTGAAAAGCTTATGCTGTGATGTTTTTATTATTAGAGCTGTTTACTATCGGCTAATATATTCTTTATATCAGCAATGATTAAGTCGTATATATGTCTAACATTTTAATCTGGTGGTTGTAGGTCAGTATTGATACAATGGATAAACTATATACCATACTCTTATGAATTTTCTTCCCTTATCCCAACTATATTCGATAGCCCAGTTAGTGGATATACTCGACATTTGATTAAAGCATTGATTGCATTCTCTCCCGAATCCCATAATTTATTTTTACATTAGAACACTAGAAAAAGATCATTTAATTTAATCAAACTTCAAAAATCATCTGATTATACACAAAAAAAGGAAGACTTAATTACTAACATGTACATAGCTAGGGTTACTTATGGTACACAACTGAACAACATGTTTATAATTAATTACTAGTACTTAATAAACAGAAAATTACATGCTAACAATTATTGAGTGAAATAATAGATTACAATTTCTGATCAGCCCTAATGGGTTGGTGTCTGACGAAATCTCAGCACGGATTCGAAAAACTCGCTTGGCTTTTGCCAACTTACGTCACCTATGGCGAAGGCGAGATATTCGTCTATCAATTAAGGGACGAGTATACTGCGCGGTAGTCCGTTCTGTTTTAACTTACGGCAGCGAAACATGGCCATTAAGAGTAGAAGACACTCGTGAGCTACTAATATTTGACCACAGATGTCTTGAAAATATTGCTGGCGTCTGCTGGGATCACCGGGTAATTAATAGTGAGGTTAGACGCAGGGTATTAGGGAATGATGGTAAATCAGTTGATGAGGTTATGAATCTTCATCGACTGAGATGGTTGGGCCACGTGCTAATGAGGTGTGGCAATTTGGACCGATGCATATACGTGCCTGGTCCTACATTGTAGATGACTGATCACAATCCTAATATGTATGTATGTTATCGCATTATCAGAGGATTACTTTCAAATCGTCACATTTTCAATTATTCAACTAATCATAACATACATATGTAACGTTTATACCATCATAAGAATTATCATCTCTCACTTAATCCTAATGCAGTGAACAAGAACACGAGTGGGGACAATCGAATATATTTGGACGTAATATATATTATAGAACGTCTTACTAAAATCTGAGAACCATACCGTAAATAGTTAATTTGCAAAATATTAATCAACTGTGCCAAACTTGACTGTTCCTTTTGCAAATATCAGTCCTTCGTTTCAGATTTCATTGTTCCTGCATTTTCATATCAATTGTTTTCCGTTTCCGTTGTTTCCTTTTCGATCTTCTACTGAAATACATTCCATTCCTGACTATCGTTATATACTACTTATGTAGATATAAGTAGCTCACACCACACTAATGATTAGGTATCAGATATGTTTTATATTGAATATTCTATTTAATTCATCAAACTTTGGCAATATATTGACTGTTTACATCATCTCAATCTCAGGAACTGGTTTATTCACAATAAATTATTAAATTTTAGGTATTCAAATGAATCTCTGTAATCATTTTATTAAATCTGTACGGTTATATACAAATTTCAATTTGGGAAACAAATTGTTTGAATCATTCAAGTTCTCACCATTGAATCTTACTAAGTAAGTTGATTTTCATACACTTTTTTGTTACTGTTTTACTATACAAGATATGCTTTTCCATTTTGTTTCTCAATTGATTACACTTAGTACTTTGATTATTAGTGTTTGAATATGGATTGGAATTCAGGACTTCACGTAATGGAACGTTATATACTGTACTAGTTTTAGTCTACCAGTAGTTACGATCATAAATTAATATCAATTGTTTCACCATTGTAATTTTTAAGACAGTCTCACTACATACACACTCGGCTTTAATAACCACATTTTTCGTTCAATCCAAATGGAACTATCAATAATATGCTAGATGTATTACTAAAGTCTACTCATAATATTACGACGTCATTGGTTTTCTAGAGTAATATAAATTTTATAATCCTTTATTACCTGCAAAAACAAATGATCTATTGTTGGGGATGTTAGATCCCTAGAACTCACTTGGGAAAGGACCTAATTTTGTAATTTTATGTAGAAAATTTGAATTTCTTTGTTTTCGCGGCAAAGGCGCTCTTGTCACCTTCATGTCGTATTTCTCACTGGGTAGTATCTTAAATGCTATTGGTCCGTTGCGTCTTTTAGTATGCTATTTGGTAACTTTCCCCAAGGACGGTTTTGTACTGTATATATACGTTTTTAATTGTAATTGTTGTTATCGCTCGTTTCTGGCTGTTTGCTGAATATACTTCCCCATTCGAAGCTTGGACTTCTCCCTCTAGTTAGCGGGGCTTGGACGCATCAATAGCTAGCTTACTGGTCTTTGGTCACCGAGTCTTGTTTCTCATTCGCAGATTATGTGAACTCGTGATAGATTGAACCCTAGCATCTATGGTAGTTTAAAAATTAAAATTTAACTTGTATTTAGGTATTTTCTAGAAAAAGTAGATTTTTAATCTAAAGCATTACTTTCAATTTTCTTATCATCTTATTACTACTTAAATTATGTTACACATAACTAATTATCCCCAAAAATTTAACATTACGTTGTTCCAGAGGTAGTTCATGAGTTAAGCATAGAATATTGTCCCCAAATTCCCCTAATACCTAAATGAGTTGGAAAACACTGATTCCAAACCAATGGTGCACATGGGCTCCAGTATCCTGAGGGAACAAATGGTGTATCAACCAATTATTGGTCACCGGTTACCACGCCTGTAGCTCTTCTAGAGTTACTCCGGTCCCAAGCCCGGGTAAAGGAGGAGGGTTGGGCATGGGTTAGCGTCCCCATCCCGTAGAAAACTAACTCGCTAAAAAAACGCTTACCAGAAAAAATAATTCAAACCATTTTAACTCTGCCCTGGAGTTAGAAGGTCTTCATTTAGAAGAATTATGACGCTTCATGGTGAAAGCCGAGTTCCTTCGGAAGCCACGAGGCTGCCCCTTCTAACTCCCAGAGCAAAGATTTTTATAGGTACATGGAACGTTCGAACAATGTGGGCGGTCAGAAGAGGAAATGCTCACACACTCAGGAGGCTCTATGCTGTCACACAAAGAAGGAGGGGATCTTAATGAATATTATCCAATGTTATGCACCCACCAATGATAGCAACGACGACACTAAAGATCAATTCTACGAGCGGCTGCAGTCAATCATAGAGAATGCCCAAAAAGACCTCGAGAGAACGAAAAGGAGAAAGATTTGCAAATCTATGTGCATTCAACAAATTGGTCATCAATATCACACAAGCGTAACACAAGCTACATGGATCTCACCGGACCACACTACAGAGAACCAAATAGATCATATTTGCATCAACAAAAAATTCCGAAGGACAATGGAAGATGTGAGAGCTAGGAGAGGATCTGACATAGCTTCAGATCACCACCTAGTTGTGGTCAATTTAAAACTGAAGCTAAAGAAGAACTGGACAAGTGGACAAACAGCACTACAAAGGTTCAATACAGCCTTCCTTCGAGATACTGACAAACTCAATGAATTCAAGATAGCTCTCAACAACAGGTTCCAAGCCTTACAAGATCTACTGAAAGAAGAAGAAACTACTATGGAGGACAACTAGGAAGGCATCAAAGAAGCATTACCTTCAACGTGTCAAGAGGTTCTGGGTCTAAAGAAATACCATCATAAGGAATGGATCTCTATAGAAACACTGGACAAGATCAAAGAAAGGGAGAACAAGAGGACAGCAATTAACGACAGCCAAACACGAACAGAGAAAATCAAAGAACAAACTGAGTACATAGAAGCAAACAAGCAAGTGAAGAGAAGCATTAGAGCCCACAAGAAGAAACACGTGGAAGAACTAGCAAGGACGGCGGAAAAAGCTGCAGGGGAAGGAAACACGAAACAACTTTACGATACAACGACGAAACTAGCAGGGAAATATAGTAAACCGGAGAGGCCGATCAAGGACAAAGAAGGCAAGCCAATCACCGAAATTCAACAACAGCGTAACAGATGGGTAGAATACTTCGAGGAACTCCTGAATAGGCCGGCTCCAATGAATCCACCGGATATCGAAGCAGCACACATAGATCTTCCTATAGATGTCAACCCACCAACGACGGAAGAAATTAGAATGGCCGTCAGACAAATCAAGAACGGGAAAGCAGCAGGACCCAACAACATACCAGCTGAAGCACTGAAATCAGACATCGAAGCAACCACAAGCATGCTTTACCTCTATTCAAAAAGATTTGGGAGGAGGAACAAGTGCCGATGGACTGGAAAGAAGGACACCTCGTCAAGATTCCAAAGAAAGGAGATCTGAGCAAATGTGAAAACTACAGAGGCATTGCACTACTGTCAATACCAGGGAAAGTCTTCAACAGAGTGTTGCTGAACCGGATGAAGGATGCAGTAGACGCCCAACTTCGAGTAACAAGCTGGATTCCGTAAGGATCGGTCGTGCACAGACCAAATTGCAACACTACGGATCATCGTCGAACAATCAGTTGAGTGGAACTCATCACTGTACATCAACTTCATTGATTATGAAAAAGCATTTGACAGTGTAGATAGGAGGACATTATGGCCATTGGCCGGATACCATCAGCAATAGCCTTCTGTGGGAGAGAACAAACCAACTTCCAGCTGAAGAAGAAATTAAGAAAAGACGATGGAAATGGATAGGACATACATTACGCAAATCGTCAAACTGCATCACGAGGCAAGCCCTAACTAGAAGGAGCTAGAAAGGATTGCCCAGGACAGGGTTGGATGGAGAATGCTAGTGGTTACCACGGGACTGCATCTCCTTACGTTGCTCCACTGCCTTGCGGATTAGACTATTAGGTCGAAGGCTCCAGGTGTGCCCCCCCCCAGGAAAACCACCTGCTTTGGTCTGCGTATCTGGACAGTATCATTACCCACACACAAATCAAGTGTTTTGTGTGGTGCATATGTGTTCGGTTCCCTTTTGTACCAATATTGATGTGTTCAAATAATAGTAATTAAATACATAGAATATTCGTATTGTTTATTATTATTTGATAAAGTAACTTGATTATAGTAGAATCATTTCGTGGCGAAAGTAACTTTCACTGATATTTCGTAGTCTATCAGTAAGATTTGTTAATACGTTATTGTTGTGTTTTTTTTTTGAAATTTTAAAATAGATTTAGCTTAAATCCTCTACAAATTTATAAACATGAATTATCAACAAGTTGTAGTTTAAATCGCTGTCCTGGTATAACGTATCCGCGACCAGTTAGTCGCTATTGGGCAATTAGTAAAATGAGGGATCCTCATCAATACACAGTTGATCCACTTCCATTAGTACGAACAGGAGGACGAGGACCTGACGGTAATACATTTGACTGTATTAATAATGACATTTTACTGTTACATATTTTCTCAATTACTTTTCTCATTTAGAATAATTTCTGTAACAGAGTTATTAAATCAAGTAAACTTCGAGTTTGTTTTTTTTTTCAAGTGTACATATAAAATTCAATAAAACTATGAAATTTAGTACATTGATGATTTCCTTAAGGCTTTTAGGTTGTGTTCTTTTTGGGGGGGGGTATCAGTAGCAACTGAAAAACATTGAATAAACGAAATATATGTTGAATGAAGTGGCAAATTAACGTCTAGTTTGATAAGTGTTTTCCAGACCTCTAAGGAAATATAATAAATTTCTCAAACGTTCAGTTAACATCAAATAGTAGTACTTGGTACTTTCAAATAACAGTTTATGAGTTTAGTAGTGCCTTTTGTATATCATACCTAATTTAAAGTTATCGCAACTCTTACGTTATCACTCAACTGCTAAAATGGAATAACTCAACTAATTTAAAGCCTATTTGTTAGTTTGTTTGTTTTTTAATGTAAGTTTTCTGAAGTTTCGGTTCAAACCCATGATTTATGAATCTCATTCCAGATTAGCATGGTTGTTTATCGTTGACACTAGATTATGATTACTTTGTTTCATTAATTGCTATGAGTTGTAAGTTATAAATCATTGTATATTGAACAATCAGTTGATGGCTAGATTCTCATCACTTATGTTCAGATTTATTTAAATCTAGGTGAATTTCCTGTTATAATCCTTTTTGAGCCTTGCTTTTGTATATTGAATGAAGTCGACATGACTCAGTTTGATCGCCTGATAAATATCCATTAGTAGAAAATTTAAGCTGTGCAAGTTCATCCATACAATCATTATTCATAAAGCAGCATCTATACCGAGAAACATTTCATTAAAGTACTAGTGAATTTTGACGTCATAGTCTATTAATTATTATTAAAATACATACAGCCACTGCCAGTCATGTCCTACTCACTGTATTCCCATGGTATCGAAGCTAAATATTATTTAAGTTAGTTTAAAGCACATCATGGAGAATAGGGTTGAGATCTTTGTCTGTCAAGATTAGTAAAACGGTAATACTTTAAAGACTGTTTTGTATATTTTTCAGTTTTCTTGGAAATCAAATCCCTATTCTACTTACAAGTAGCAACTACACTGTTGATGTAAAATTTAAGACACAACCGACCTATATTCAGTTCATCATATTTTTATTGTTGTAATATTAGGCTTATTTATTTATAAATTCAAATCATTTACCATTTGTATTTAAATTTTCCTCTCATTTAGGTAAAATTCAACTAAAACACGTTACAACTGGATTAAATCGTCCATGGTTTATGGTAGATCACAATCGTTCCAGACAAGTTTTAACTAAAACTATCCATGAAGAATTAGTATTACAGGTAGGTAAACACAAATTACAGCTTTATTTGTGTCATTGGATGCAATGTAGACAGAAAGGAATATGTTACTGCCTAGTCGTTTTCTCAAAGATAACTTTTCATGACCTATTTATAGTATGTACCGGTTACTTAACCTACGACGACGCAATCCCCATAAGTTTTCAAGATGTTGATGATTCCCTTTTGCTCTGCATGAATTCAATAATCAAAAGTGAAGATTTATAGGATAGTTAATTTTTAATCAATAAACATTTAAATGAACCCACATTTTCAATAGTAATGTTAGAACTTTAAAATTAACCATGACGAGTGCTTCTTGGACTATATCTATGTATATAGTACTTACTAGAGACATTTCATTAGGCTATTGTAAATATGGGCACTGAGACTGAAATTTTCTTTCACTATCCGTTCCAAGCAGTTTTAACTAAGTACTCTTCAAATACTGATGTTATACCAAAAGCTGTACGCAATCCGTACCACTTACCTGGGTAACTTTATTTTATTTATTTATTTGAACACATAAATATTGGTACAAAAGGGAACCGAACACATATATGCACCACACAAGTCACTTGATTTGTGTGTGGGCTATGATACTGCCTGGATGCCCAGACCGAGACAGGTAGTTTTCCTAGAAGACCACGCCCCGAGCCTTTGACCTAAAGGTCTAATCCAAAAGGTAATGGAGCAACGTTAAGGGATGCAACTACATGGTATCCAGTAACCAACAATAGGTTCATATGCCATTTGGTCCCTTAGGATCCTGGAGCCCAAGTGCACCATTGGTTCGGAATCGGGGTTCTTCAACTCCCCTAGGTGGGTCCACCAACCCTGTTAAAGTGCCGGACATTCTCTTTTCGTCCTCAATTTCGTGAACGCCACCCCCGCCGCGAGAATGCAGTGAGTAGGACTTTTCTGGCAGAGGCTGTATACGCGTGGCCATGTGAAAGCATTTCGACAGGAACAGCGAAATCCTCCACCCGCGGCCGTACCAGGGCACTTGGCGGACCGGGAAAAAACAGGACAGCTGCAGAATAAGTGAAAATATTTTTTCAGCCACTAGGAAAATAATTTTCAATCCACCGGTTTTAAACTGTTACCTTCAACTTCGACTTCTAAGTTAGAAAGTTATGACCATGAGAACAATAAAGAACATAAGTGAAATAATGTTCGTTAAAAAAAAACAATCGTCGTGTTCTTTCTTAATAACATTCTTTTTTAATCCATGTTCATAGGTCAAAAAAACATGGTGGAGACATCCGTTTATTGCTTTAGTAGCCTCAGGTGAAGTGAAAAGATGGATTATTGCAACTGCTAGTATGAAACCTGGAGATATTATACGTTCACATGTAGATATCCCTACTATTCCAGGTAAAACTTTACACACTCATTACATCTTTCGCCTCCCTCTTCCTAAATCTTACGATTAGTATTTAAAACACAATTGTGTATATAACTGTTAAAAACATTCTTGAACCACTCTTGTTGTTGAATCTTTCCAGCTACCGATTAGTTGGGTTTAGGCTCATTAACCAATTAGAAAGACAAATTGATTGACTTTGTATTTCTGCATGCAACTAATCTCAGAATATTAGGAGTCGCTTCATATTAAGGATAAAACATTTGCCAATTTCATTTATTATAATGCTCGATTGAAGGTCTGATATCTAGACTTAATATAACTATCAAGAAGTTATGAGATATTTACTAAAACATCAACCAAATTTAAGTTTCAATATTAACGACTAGTCGCAATCACTGATCATACTAATATATGAGAAAGGATCAAAATCATCCTGTAAAAACCATAGAGAGATTAGTCTGACTAATATAACGCTTAAGATATTAGCATCAATAATTATCGAACGCCTAACAAAGACTCGTGAACTGCAAACACGAGAGAACCAAACTGGCTTCAGACCTGGTCGTGGCTGCATCGACCACATATTCACCATTCGTCAGGTTCTAGAACATAGGCATACTTATCGGCGTCCGACAATGGTGGTCTTCCTTGACTTAAAAGCAGCATTTGACTCTATAGACCGAGAGGTTCTGTGGCAGTGTCTGTCATTGAAAGAAGTACATAAACCTTTTGAAGGCTCTTTAATCGAACACTACTAGTCAAATCAGAGCTTATGGTGAACTGTCATCTGCTTTTGCAACCTCAAGTGGTGTCCGTCAAGGCTGTCCACTTTCTCCATTTTTGTCTAACTTCATCATAGACATGCTGATGGAAATAACATTCTCGTCTACTGAATTTTCGGGTGTCGATCTCCTACCAGGAGGTCCACTTATCGACTTAGAATACGCAGATGACATAGTCCTGTTTGGTGAAGACGCTGATAAAATGCAGAGTCTTCTGGTAGCACTAAGCAACAATGCCAGAATGTTTGGAATGCGCTTCTCTCTTTCTAAATGCAAGTTGTTGCTTCAGGGCTGGTCTGCGTCGACACCTGAACTGAGGATGGGGAGTGAAGTAGTCGAACGCGTCGACAACTTCACTTATCTTGGAAGTCTGATCAGCCCTAATGGGTTGGTATCGGACGAAATCTCAGCATGGATTCTAAAGGCTCGTTTGGCTTTTGACAACTTACGTCACCTATGGCGAAGGCGAGATATCCGTCTATCAATAAAAGGACGAGTATACTGAGCTGCAGTTCGTTCTGTTCTACTTGACGACTGCAAAACGTGGCCATTAAGATTAGAAGACACTCGTAAGCTACTAGTATTTGACCACAGATGCTTTAGAAATATTGCTGGCGTCTGTTGGGATCACAGGGTAATTAATAGTGAGGTTAGACGCAAGGTATTAGGAAATGATGGTAAGTCAGTTGATGAGGTTGGGAATCTTCATCGACTGAGATGGTTGGGCTACGTGTTGCATATGTCTGAACACCGATTACCAAATCGTGCAATGCTCACTAGTGTTGGAGATAGTTGGAAGAAAGTTAGAGGCGGCCAAACCAAAACGTGGCATCAGTGCTTGAAGACACTAACTTCTGGTCTGAGCCATGTTGGTAGGTGCAGACTACTTGGTTGTGGTCTGGGCGACTATCGTAACTAGTGGTTGAAGATTCTGGGTGACATTGCTCAGAATCGATCACAATGGCGTCGGTGTATACACTCTTTGTTTTCCCTTAAACCATGAGACTAAATTTGATTTATACCTTTCCTTCTACAAACTAATTCTTCTTTTCTGTATCATATTCTTATATGGAATCTTTTTCATATGTTATCATTGAAGTAACTGCTCCTATGAATTTGGTTTTCATGTTGTTGTACTAATGAGGTGTGGCAATTTGGACCGATTCATATATGTGCCTGGTCTTACGCTGTAGCCGACTGACTGACAATATTAATGACAACAATGAGGAAAAATATCGAGATGATTTGTTTACGTGAATTAGAACCAAGCTATACAAATATTAGCAATGTACCAAAAAGTAAGCTTTATGTGGCATATTAGGAGTAATGCATCGGGAACTTTAAGACTCATTAATATTTCATTTTGTTTACCACTCCGTTTGAAAGTTGGATTACTTATAGTGCTATTCTTCGACTTCTAAAGCTATGGACAGTTAATTTAGTTATCATCTACACTTTAGTTTTCTAATTAGTTGTAAATTTGTACTCGAATGTAGATGATGCAATCTCGATTCTTGACTAGTGCAAAGATAATTTTCAACAATAGTAATTGTGTTTTAAGAAAACTGTACAATTCGTTAATATATTTTCCTAAATATGAATATAACAGGCCAAACTTTGTTCTTTATGGCTTATATATATATATAGCCTGTTACTAGTTACTCGTTAAAATGTAATAGCAGCTAAAATCCTCCAATTTACCTTAGCATTTAAAACTAGCAGTTGATCTATAATTTTACTTTATAAAACCAAGTTACAATTTAAAAGGGACTAGTGTTGAGTTTTCCATATTTATTATTCGCAATAATCTTAATTTGCTTGTACTATCTATATACATTTTTATTAATGTATAGTTGATCCAAAAGAAGGTGATGCTTATCCAATTGGTGCATTACCGGTTGGTACAATTATTAGTCAATTTGAAATAAAACCTGGTCAAGGTGCTTTATTTTGTCGGACAGCAGGATCTAGTGCAACAATATTTCGACGTGGAAAATATGTTGGTTCAAAATTAAATGAAGAATTAAATTTCACATCTTTAACTGATGAACTAAGAGATGAATATGTTGTATTTGTTAGAACAAATGGAAAACGTAAAATTTATCGACTTTTACCAACATGTATGTGTGTAGTTGGACAAGTATCTAATGAAAATCATGATCAATTTAAGTAAGTTAATTAAGAATAACTAGATTTCATATCGTTAATAATTATGTAGGATATTTCTGTTAAGTTTCAACATATTTTAAATGCGGTGGGCTTTTTTTTCTTCTTCTTGAGAATAAATATAGGTACATATTCTTGAAATTATGTCGTTTTGATTTCTATGGTGTTATCAGTAACCACGCTGTCATTTTAAATTGGATTATGTCAAATAAGTTTTATTTTCAGTGAAGATTATTGTTCATTTACATAGGGAAATTTTTCATGTGTATTTAAAGATTTACACTATATGCTTAGTATTATTATTATTGATGTATAGAGGTAATTGACAAGTAACCTTATACATTGTTTGAGTTTTTTATTAAGGTTAATACTTTCTGTTACATGGACTCAATTTGTTTATTACTGTGAGAAGTGTACCATGTCAATGTTCACCAAATTACTTTCGATTAAAATGTTCGTATACCTGATCGATCAGAATACACCATGCGTAAGGAATAAGTTATGTATGAAGCTTTACATGCAATTCTTGGACAACGTGATATTTTGTTTATAATAACTAACTAAACAATTTTTAAGTAAATCATTAGATTTTAAGATATTGCATGTTTATCGCTAATATTATATTTATTTATCTCTTTTTCATTGTTTTATAAAAATACATATAGATTTCGTAAATTTGGTGAAAAGAAATGGAGAGGAATAAAACAACGCAGTGGATTATGGCAGCGTAAAACAGGAAGATTTGGTCGAAAAGTACGGCCGATCGGTCCACCTATCGACCTTGTACCATGTCAAAGTTCACAAGACTACTTTAGATTAAAATGTTCGTATCCTGGTCGATCAGAATATACAATGCGTAAGAAACAAGATATGTATGAAGCTTTACATGCAAAAAACAAACCAAGACCACAACCTATTCCTGGACGTCACAATGAATTACCTGACAAAATGCCACGATATCGTTGGTGTTCTTGGTCATCTGTACGATAAGAAGCACAAATGCTACAAATCTTATATATTTGAATGTGTAATATCTGATGGTTGTACTAAATGGTTATTAACGTGCTTTTTATCGGTAATCACCTACTTTAGCTGTTTTATAAAAAGAAATAATGTGGAATTGAATTTATTCAAATCTAAAACCACGAATGAACCAAGTCAACAGCTATATCTACTGTATTATAACGATGACGCTTGTATAAACGAGGCAGGTCATAGCGAAGTTCTGCAACCACTTTGCCCTGTGCACCAGTACTCTGTATTGTATGTAGAACATGCTATACAGTTATTTAAAAAAAGTAGACATGAATGAACAAGTATTTTGACTTATAGTAATTATAAAACAGCATAGTAAACCGTTAATTGATGCACACTATAGTAAATAGCTCCTAAACAATATTTTTTATCAAGATTATATTTAGATTATTGTGTTTAGGTACACGAGTCAAATTTTTGCGGTCGTATTTTTGTTTGCTATTCGAGTTGTACCTACTACATCACTTAACACGTAGTAAAAATTAAATTACTAGTCTACGGACTTTGTTTTGAAGAGACCTTTTATAAAACATGTTGAGGTTTACAAAATGTGGTTAAAATGTTCCGAATGCTTGATTATGTAATGCAAGTATCGTATATATAATTGATACGCCATTAAATAGCTTGTGGCTTTAGTTTGTTCATTACATCACTTATAGGGTCATAAATTTTTATTTCTCGACAAACAATATAGCTGAGCCTCATATATTAATTGGCAAGTTTCCACCAGGCCAATTAACTTAACACTGAGTGTCAGTTTAGTCGTTAAGAGTTAATTCAAAAATAGTGTACTCGGTTAGTTAACTATGAAGTCTTCAAGACCGACAATATACATCTTTTGCTAGCAATCATGGAATAGTTAGCTCAGAAAATTAGCATCAGCTAGGTATTCGCGAAAACCTGTTTGCTCAAATTCGCACGCCACTAGCTTTTATTCATAGTCACTGATCTAGTAGAACCTTCGTTATAAATATTTTATAACTTAAAACTCATTATACTTACGTTTCGTGTGGTAGTTTTATGGAGCGAATATACATGTAAGTGGGCAATGGACAGCGCAGCACGTAGGAATGCCATGTCAATACCTGAAAAAATAAGATCTATGTGTCAGTAAGACGTTACCATTATTTTTCGGGTTAGTGCCAAAAGGAGGATTTAGAATAACTGTATCCACAAATTTCTTGTTGTTCCCATGAAAGAGCCGTGCTACATCACACAAAGTAACATCAATATTTTCATCTAGCATTTCACATGTTCCTAGGTTTGATTGAAACTCATTCACAGCATCCTCATCAATTTCGAATCCAAGTACACAACTGATATCTATCATTAATGTTGAAGGAGTGTCAGTTTCCTACCTAGCTCCAAGGAGTTTAGCACCGATAGACAACATTCCAGTACCACATCCAAGATCGGCTACAGACATCCCTTCCAATGCATTATCTGTCATTTGAATATTAAACAAGATGTCCGCTAAACAAATGGTAGATTACTTTTAGTATTTCATCAACTAACCTGCAACTTGTGCTGAGGTACAGTACTGTTCAAACTCAAGTTTTGGGTTTTGAAATGTCTTAACATTTTCCAGCTGGTGGTGTAGTTTTTTCCGACTTAATGTGGGCATACCACGATATGATAATTTCCCCAAAATTTTACCTATAAAAATAGTAGTGACTATACAGTACTAGATAAGACAAACAATCAGTGAAATGTAGAAAACAGGAAAAACCCAATGTCACGTTATTCATACCATGAGTAGGTTTGCGGAGATATGCTTAATGTCTAACCAAACGAATGAATAAGTTCTCAATGTACGAAGGGACTTCGGCCAGTTACACTGATTGCTGTCAATTCAAAACTATTTAACGAAACTAGGAATCCTGGTAGGACGTCGATATCAAATGAGAAGCAGTTGGTTCATGATTGCTAGGATTATCCTACTTTGGCAGAACTGGCAAGTGAAAGTGTTCCACTATTTAAGAAGAAGCGAGTGGAATAGTGTGTAAAGACACCGCCAATGCCAGAAACCTCGTCATCGTACTTAAGTTGTATTTTTTAGACAAATGACCGAGTAAGCTCGTCGTAATAGTTCCGTGCTTATTAAACGAATCGAGTGGTCAAGAGGACACTGGTTCTCCAATGGCTTCAATTACCAGGCATGGACGCTGCACCTAGTGACTTTATTTGGAATGCCATTTGGTCAGTTAGATGTCAAAATCTACTCGACCGTCAAAACCACAAATATGACGTAACGCACAAGCTGATTTCAATTAAACTATGGTTTTCCGAAGTTTACATTCGATTTCTATCATCTAAAAAATGACCACCAGAAGAAGCTCTCTATACAGAATAATGTCTTAGCATAATCATATTCGCTCCTAAAGCAGTAGTGAGCTCCATGATCATGGAGAACTCAAGGGTTTTCTGAGAAAAACCCGTGCAAGGAAGAGTTTGACTCCGGTCAGTGGATGTACGTTTTCAAGGTCAGTTTAACCTCGATCAATGGTCGTTCATTAAATATAGTCTTACTGAAAGCTTAAGTCGCGTTTCTCTTAAATCGACAAACCTTTCCTGAAGGAGACATTTATTAAGACTTGGTTAGGCCGTAGTCGGTCTAGCATTAAACAGAAGAGCTTTATACTTATATTTTATGCCCTGCCAAGAACGCTGGCGACCATTAATACAGTGAAATCCGTTCTTTTCCAACATACACCGTTAACAACAATGACACCGATGCCTCTTGTTTAGATATGTAGGCAAATCCATGTTTCTTCTATCCCAATGACCAAAAAAGGAGTTCGGCATTCGAAAGTACGTTCGTTCACGACAAAGAAAAGAAAAAAAATGGACCAGATATTAACAATTGTGTAAACGACAATTCCAATACATTTTCCAATAAATAACATTATTTTCACCACCACGCAAGTCAATAGTGCTGTGATTCTATAAATCGAAAGAGAGATTCATGATTATATCTAATTTGTTTACAGTTTCTCAGGACAGACTACCTTCAAAGTAACGCTGCTTTTGTATTCACGCGGTCCGACAGAATAGTGTTTCGTGAAACAATGAAAACTTGCTTATTTTTCTTAAACGTTTTGTTGCTAACGTTTGTATTTGAGCTTCTTTTAAAGCTATAATAACTAAATTTGACAGTTAATTAGAGGTTGGTAAGTCTTTTGTATTAGTGAATGTGTTTTGATGATTTGGCTATTGGTCAATGTCGTCTCACGGATCCTGAAAAATTGATCTGATTAGTTCTTCAAGAGGTGATATTCTCTTAGTTCTTCTGTACTCGAACACTTAATATCATTTTTCAGGCTGCAAACAACGTATTTTTTGCCTAATAATGTGATAGCTACTGCCTCGATAAACCTTTGTAGCGGTAAATAAATCCCCAAAATAAATAGCTCTAAGTTTTCGACATTGGATGCTGACCATATGTTTTAGTGGACTCATCTAGCTGAAGGCGCTCGGTCATGCATCCGCACCAGATCACGTGTGGTAACGCTGCGCTCAACATCCACCGCAATCGCTAGCCAGATTAATAATAATAATAATTTATTCTCAAATAACAGTTTGTTACATGAGGCATGCCAGTTTACAGGCAAGATCAAATTGATACAAATGATACAATATCCACTGTAGTAAATTACATAACTGGGTTGATAATTTATAAAATATGAATGTAAATGGTTTTAATCACAGTTGGAGCGCTTCACGAAAGTTGCGTTGCGAATGTGCAACTGGTGGTCAAGGATAGGTCTATTATAGGTGAGAGCTTCTAAATGTCGCAACCTTATGTCCCTTTGGAATGTCTAAGGCTTTGAGGATGGTGCAGGATAAAATTTTTCGTTCCATATCACAAGGGGGCTGAAAGAGGGAGCAAGTAAAAGAAAACACAAGGGGCAGAGTAGCCAATATTCATGAAGGAGTGTTTAAGGTATGATTACTCAGTCTAATTTTCTTTTATTAAGGTATTTGTTAAGAAAGAGCATTTATTAGGTTAAAGAAAATATGTGTTAACAAGGTGTAAGTGGACATACAACTGACAAATGGAGCCGATTCGGAAAGGAGCTGAGAGTATGTGATTATGTGTGATTATAAAATAAAATATAGTGCTAGAAACAGTTTTGTGATATACAATTGGCTATCTTTTTTATCGAAGCAATTGGAGCTCTTTTCATTTTTTTTGTATTATTTTTTTTCAGGTATCATAGGGTCTTGAGTAGGCTTTGTATATTAGCGAATTGTCTAGTTTGCTTGTAATAGGATTACTGGGTAGGAAGTGAAACCAATTCAACGTTCGTAACACGATTTAAAGGGGTATTTTGCGTGATAAATCAGCTTCAATACCATAAGTTCGTGACATACCACTAAACCATAAGGAGCCGTAATTAAACAAAATGTTCTGCCCTGCAGACATGGGTGGATTGAATTTATCTCCCCGCCTTCATTTTCGCTGGTCAGTAACGCCACCCTCCCTCCTTTTGTGATGTTAGGCTCTCTTACGTTTTTGGTAAGTATGAATACTGCTTTAATCAAAGCCCATAGTTGGAATACACTGTCTCTACTAGGTCCATGTTACAAGCAAATCAGATAGTTGAAAAGTCTTTTTTTGGGTTAGATGTCCATATAGTATATCACACTGCTATGAAAATAACTAATGTTTTAAAGAAGTAAGGACTAATAGCAAATCAAAGGATATGAAGAAGTATATAATTGTAAAAAAAAATTTTTAAGGATAAGAAAAATAAAACTGAGCAATCCACAAGACTATATGACCAATTTTTTTAGCTTTGTATGATTGACCTTAGTAGATCAGCATCCATAAGATTGAGCTATCTGTCTACTTGCAGTAGAAAAAAAGCATGACTTTTAGGAAGAATAATGTACATTTAACCTGTAGAGATTTGGGAACTGAAAGCTAGGGTTAGGAGCATAAGGCCATGATTAATAAATAATGAATATTAGGAAAGGATAAGCTATATATTCTGTGATTTGGTTATATTCGTATTAGTAACAGTCGAACTTGTTATAATCTTGTTCTTTCTAGATACTAGGCGGTCCGTAATAAAGTGCCTCATTGGTGGGCGGGAGTTCAAGGAAATGTTGAAGCTCTTTGGAGTCTAGAAATAGGGTTATTAGCTTTTTGAATCTGGTAAACGTATCACAGTTGCGGATAGGCATTGGCAGCCTGTTCCACAATAAACTATACCGTACTGTAAAAAACTTACAACGCATTTGTTTTTGGTGTTTTACGGTAAGTAGTGTATATGCGTTGTTTCTAAGTCTATAGGCTGGGTTGTGGGTGATAGTCGGGCAGGAGGTTAGAAAGGAGAGCCCATATATCGCTTTGTAGAGAAATATTAAATTGTTTTTTAGCCTACGGTGACAGGTTCTAAAGATAGATGCTTACATCTGTCTGTGTAACCGAGATTCGAGTTACATCCTAGTAGTTGACGTGTGAAACGTCTTTGAACATCTTCTACTCTTATCTTGTCTGCGATATTCATATTAGAGAAGACAAAAGAGCAGTATTCAAGGGAGGGTCGTACACATATTTTGTAGAGAGTAAGTTTACCCTCTGTTGTGAAAAAGTTTTTCATTATAAAACCAATTAGCCGTCTAGATTTAGAAATAATAGAGGAGGCATGTTCTTCAAAGTTCAGCCTTCCTGTGTAATTAATTCCTAAATCGTGTACTGATTCGAGTGTTTGGACTCTACTTTCATTTAAGTGAAGTCGCGGTTTATAGGGATGCTTTCCGATATATTGGTTATCGCCAAATACACTCTTCCGATCTCCTCGACTCTGTCTTTTGATTTCTCTCAGTGGGTACAAATTATATTAGAAGGTGTTGCTGGTAAAAGCGTTGTCAAACACTGAATAACTATGCCATCTTCATTGGTGAGTCCGACGTGATCTGGTACACCCAATTGAAACTGTGAGTCTGTTCCTTTTTGGGATTTTTGTATATTATTGCCTTATTTTTTAATTTTTATACATTGTGATATTTTTTCACCGTGTCTCAGGATATCTATATATTCGTATTCTCGTATTTAATATTCCCCTATGACCGAACAGACTCCTAAGGTATTTAAGCTTAAGACCATGTCCACACCCTAGCTCCAACTCATGCCCTTCTGGCCCGACAATATCAAAGCCTGGTTCTGCTACGCAGAAGCCGACTTCCACGAGCGCAGCGTGAACGACACACGTGCACAATTCCTCGCAGTAGTCAAGGCACTACCGCGCGAATTCAACAGGTACGTAACACCTAGTATGTTTACTAATGATGTTTCGGAACCTTACGAAACCTTAAAACGTTCGATTCTTAAACGAGGAGACCTAACCGATCGACAAAGGTTAGATCAACTGTTTAATAACATAGACCTTCAGCACGGTTCTGCGACGGACATGTTACAGAGGGTGAGAGAGGTTATAGGCCTAAGAACTTTCGACGAAGGCCTATTCAAACAACTTTTCTTGTCTAAACTTCCCCAACAGGTGCAAGCGGTTCTGGTCTCGTTTCAGAACAACGCCTTAGACGAGCTGGTTGCATCTGCCGATCGTATCTTAGAAATAACGAAATCTTCTACTACCGAGGTATTTTCACTCAACGAAAAGCCTCACACGACTCAGAATGACATAACCGAGTTATGTCATACACTTACACGTTATCTTAATTTTCGTAACGACCGTAAGCGACCCCTCACCCCACTTAGAAGCATTTCACGTAAATGATCTGTCTGTAGACCACGAGAGACGGATAATACCGACTAGTGCTGGTATCATAACCAGTATGGAAAGTCTTCCAGAAATTGCAGAAAACCCTGCAATTTCCCCAACACGAAACCGAGTGACTCGAAAAACGACTCGGGAAACTTCCAAGCCGGCACACGTTAACGGCAACCGTAGCCGGCGAACATAGCCGTCTGTTATACGTCACAGATGTGACAACGAGAGTTCGCTACCTCGTCGATACTGGCGCAGAAATTAGCGTTCTCCCAGGAAATTCTAACGACCAACTTCACGAATCGACTCTAAACTTACAGGTGGCAAACGGAAAACCTATCACTACGTATGGCAAGAAATACGTTTGCCTGAACGTGGGTTTACGCAAACCCATCCACTGGATTTTCGTTGTTGCAGAGGTTTCTATGCCAATCATTGGTATGGATCTTCTACAACACCATAATCTGATCATCGATACGCGCAAACGGAGGCCAGTAGACGGAAACACTAATTTATCCGTTTGCGTAACTTATTTTTCTGGTTGCAGATTATCCCCACTCACAATTAAGCACACGATAGACCCACTTTATCAACCACTACACGATAAGTATCCTGGCATTCATCAGACGCAACCGACATTACCGTGTGTAGCCAGCAACGTTACACATCACATCACGACTACAGGACCAACTGTATCCTCTAAAGCACGACGACTAGCCCCTGAAATGTTAAGGTTAGCGAAAAACGAGTTCGATCACATGATAGAGTTAGGAATCCCACAGCCGTCAAATAGCCCATATGCATCTCCGTTGCACATGGTCCCTAAAAAGGACACCAACGATTGGCGTTCAACCGGTAACTATCGGCGATTGAATGCGATAACCATTCCCGATCGTTACCCGTTGCCTCACATTCACGATTTGACAGCTACCTTGAAAGGTACAACTGTCTTTTCGAAAATCGACTTGGTTAAAGCGTATAACCAAATTCCCATGACCACTGACGACATACCGAAAACAGCTCTCATTACTCTCTTCGGACTCTATGAATTTTCGTGAATGCCTTTCGGTCTAAGAAACGCTGCCCAAACATTCCAAAGATTCATAGACGACGTTTTTCGAGGTCTCAACTTCGGACATGCGTATGTTGACGACTGCTTAATCGCAAATCCGGACAGAGAAACACATCTCAAGCATCTGTATCTTGTTTTCGAACGACTACAAAAACATGGCATTACTGTAAACGTTCAGAAATGCCAATTCGGAACCAACTCATTGGACTTCCTAGGACACACTATAGATGTTCAAGGCA